GGGGGGGGAAATATAAAAGTGTATTAAAGTCATTTTCAGAAATATTCTCAGAAACCACACAGAAAAATATTTTTTACCCAAATTATCAGATCAGCTATGTGAACAAATTTGATTTCACCACAGAAACATGGATCTCCATGGATCCTGCTTTGCTTTGGCTATGGAAGTACAGTCTAGAACAATGTTTCCAATGTGGGAGTCCACAGTTATTGTATGACATCAACATACCACACCTTGTCATTCTGCTCTCCATTTAGCTCCAATGAAATATACAACATAAACACAACTGCCATCATGTAAGGAACATGCATGACTTTTTTAAACTTAATTAAAAAGGATTGCCAACAGGGAATGAGTACCCAACAGGGATGAGAACCAGGGGATTAGATGACTGTTTAGACATCCTGCTACTCTGCTGTAGATTTGACCCAGAATTTCTTATTGGAAGGATCTCACCTACAAGGTGACTCCAAATATGATCAGACCTGCATAGAACATTACACTCAATACCTCTACACTGGGGGATGAATGACTGTCATCATGATGGACGAATTCTTGTATGGTATGAACTTGCTGCATTAAGAGGTCACAGTAGAGGCGAAGTTCAGACATTTTGGTTTTCAAAGATTCATTGGTTTCACTTATTTCTGAAAGAAAAAGGCATATACGTTAGCCTGAACCATTTTAACATTCTTGTTAATATTCTTTAGGAAACATAATGATACAGTATCATAAAAATGACACTAGGCATTAATACTACAGCAAAAGGATTTTGAGATGCTGGAAATCGGGTACAGAGGGGAACTATTCCCTGGTGATCTTTAAATGCAAAAGAGACAATCAATTGTCTGGAATACAATTTAGGCAAAGCACCTCCAAAAGGCAGGAGAATGAACTATGAGAATGGCGGATGTGTCCCTTGAGATATTTTACAATGGCACTCTCGGAAACCCACTCAAGTCCTCACAACTTCTACATTCAATAGTCTCCTTCATTTTGACAGGCCATGCAAGCCCATCACCCATCTACAACTTCTGCTTCTCACCTGCTAGTACCTCCTAACCCAGAAGCAGAGTATAAGAAGGAGAAGATATTTAGGGAAATATGGGAGGCATGCATCCAGCCAGGCTGGATGAAGCTGCTCCAGAATCACTGGGCAGGGCCAAAATAGAGAGGGAGCCAGAAGCAGCTGCTGGTTGGGCTTCCCTTCCCTTGCAGCAGCCCTCAGCAGACATGATCAGAACAGGTTTTGTGGAATCTGCCAATCTGATCTAACCTAAATCCCTCCTGATGAAATTCAAGCCCATTTCCTCATGTTCTACCCTCAGTGAAAACAGAGAACAGTGACTAATCACCAATGTCTGTAGAATTAATTAGTCCTTTACCATTTCCAAAAGCCATTAATAATTTATCCCTTGGCTGTCTCCTTGCCAGAGTTTTAAGAAACAACTTACAAATGGATTTAAAAGACTTCAAGAATCTGGGATTTCATTGGTGGGGGTGATGTTCCTTCCCCCTATAGGGGTTCTCTCCATACCTTGGCAGTTTTCATGAATGGCCATGGCCAAAATAAAAATTCATCCCTGTGGAAGGCAGCCTTCAGACAATGGTCCTCTCTGCACTTATTTAGACTCAGAGTTTGCCCCTGAGATAACATTTGAAATTTTCTAACTTAGCAGAACCTTCCAGTGGTTAAACTCCCCCCCGTCTTTGCACCCCTCACCCCCACGGCGGGTACACCCTACAAGAACCTAGCCATCACCAGGCCACAAGACTCAATTCTCTTGGGGGAGGTGGGGGAATAGACAGACAGACACAGACAAAGAGATAAATAGATAAAAGTCGTATTTATCTTTTGATACCTTTTTCCTTTTTTGCTCTAGTGTCAGTCAAACAAGCTTTCGCACTGCCCAGAGCGACTAGCCACCTCTGCCTCTCGGCGGCATTCACAGCTTTCATGTAGAAATGCTGCTCTCCTGGAATGATTAATTCCATTCTTGTATTGTCTGCCGGGTGGACTGTGAATGAGAACAAGAAACATTGGGAGCTGAAATAAATGAGAATGCAGTGGTGCCTCTGGGAACAAACTGATTCAGGTGGCACAAAGCTCTTGCAAGAAGACAGGGAAGAAGAACAGAGGAAGTCTCCCCACCACATCCTGGTCACCCTTCAGCCAGCCAGGACCAGGGCCAGGCTGGCCAAGCTGAGGTGACAGCAGGAGAGTACTGAGAAAAATGAACCAAGAGGAAAGAGGAGGATGAGGAAGAAGCATTCTTGACCTATCCTGCACCACCCCTTCTTCCCTCTAGCCTCCTTAGCTTCATTTACTCATTTTCTAGATCCGGCCCCTAAGAATTAGCCAACAATAATAATAAAAGTCAAGTTGACAACTGACATTTATAGAGCGTTGTTAGGTTTAGCAAGTGTTCTGCCTGTATTATTATCTCATTTGGTATTCCTGGGCTAGTTTAATGGATCTGTGATCTCACTGAAGGGATAAGGTGGGGCAGGGCTCATCTCATGTATACATACCTTAGGATCACAGATCTATAGCTGGAAAGGATCTCAGAAACCAACTACTTCAATTTACAGATGAGGAAACTGAAGCCTGGGGAGATTAAAAAGTGAATGCCCAAGGTCATTTAGGTACTAAGCATCAGAGGCAAGATTTGAATCCACAACTTATGACTCCATAGTCAGTTCCCTTTCCACTGTGCATGCCTTCTTATCCTATGGAGCTCTTGTCCACATCTTCCACAAAGGGTCTAACCAACAGGCTGGAGCCCTGCCTCTTGACACTACATGGATCAGTTGATGCAACACACAGCTATCTGTTGGTTTACCCTCCTTGGCATGATATGAGTGGCCTATCTCTTTTTGCATGCATCCCTTTGATGATACCTTTTACACTGCTTTAAGCATGCAATTATCATCCTTATCGCGCTAAAGTCTATTTACACCCAGAATGCATCCCTCCACTGCACTCTGGCAGTCATCTTCTCATATTCCACCAGCTGCACTCCTCTGCCTTCTCTATCATGCCCCCTGGAGACTCATCATTGGGAAAACTCATCATCTTGCAACATTAAGTTAGCTTTGTTACTCACACCAAATCAGTACCCTTTGCCCTTCTGACTAGAAGGCAGGGTGCTAAGCTCCAAAACCTCCATATAAGGAGGGCCCGGGCCAGCTCTTCATTTCCCACCCAGATGCACTTTCCTTTGGATTTCTCCACCATGTTTTTCATCCTCCTTTTGAGTGTTGTCTTACCCCCATTAGATTGTGAGCTCCTTGAGGGCAGGCACCGTCTTTCCTTTTTGTATTTGTATCCCCAGAGCTTAGCACTGTGCCTGGCACACAGTAAGTGCTTAACAAATGTTTACTAACTGATTGTAACTCTGATTCCTCAGAGATTATAGCATTCCATGATTTATAGATACATAGTATCACCCAAAACATTGCAGTGAAAAGGAAAAGATCTGTTTCAAGGAGAAACCTGGAGTCATTGAAACCAATATGCAGTTTCCAAGTGCAATACAGCCCCACATCTTTTCTTCCTATTCAATCCTGGGCCCAGTGGATCATATAGCTATAGGATTTGTCCAAAGATATACGTACTGATGGGACCAGCTCTGAGCTGTCCATCTAACCGAATATCACACTCTGACAGTGGGCATCAATCAATCCACTTGGTTTCCCTTATATAGATAGTGACTTTTCATCTCATTTAGGAAATTCTACAATATTCCAAAGCTTGACACAGTCAGCACAAAGTCACTCAGAAACAGAAGAATCTGGATGGACTCACCATCCATTGGTAAATAAATACTACAGTTTTTATTATCCCCACGTTACAAATAAGCAAGTCAGAAAGGTTAAATGGAATCAAAGGATTTGGGTTCAAATCCTGACTCTGCCACTTACAATTCATGTAACCCTGGGGAATTCATTTTACCTCAGTTTCCTCTTCCATAAAATGAGGGTGTTTGGATTAGATGATCTTTAATGTCTCTGAGTGCTAAATCTATGATTCTAACATCAGAAATGAGATTCAAGCCCAGGACTTGCCTAACTCCAAATTCAGTATTCTTTCCCCTAGGCCACACGGCCTTTCTTAAAATCCTTCCCAGGGTCACTGCATGCAAATGGCCTTAATACCTTGACTGGAAAACTGAGGTTATGTGTCTCACATGCTACTCAGGCAACAAGTATTTCTTCTCTGCTGTGTGCCCAGCATTGCATTAACTTTAGGGTCAGGTACAAAAACTAACAAAAACAAAACATGTTCTGCCTTCAAAGCACGTTAACCATGTGGTTTTAAGAAAGAAAACTGTAAACTCATGAAACCATTATTTAAAATTTTAGGTGGAATATGTACTGTGAGAAGGAAGAAAGAAGAATGAATCCAAAAGGTCAGAAAAGGCTTGGTGGAGGGGGCCAGACTTGAGCTGCCTTGTTATGATTGTATCTATTGCAGTGACTCCAGAGTAAATACGACTTTATCATTCTTAAAGAAGGTCAGGCACATCCATCGATTGATAAGCATTTATTAAGGGCCTCCTATATGCCAGGCACTGGGGATACAAAAACAAAACAATCTCTGCCCTCCAAGAGTTGATATTCTATCAGGGAAACAACATGTACACATACTGGCTGTCCTCTAGGCCTGAAATTCTGTCCCATCTCATTTCTATCTCCTGGCTTCCTTGACTTCTTTCAGGTCCCAGCTAAGATGATGATGATGATGATGAACAGCCAGAATTTGTATACAGCTTTAAGGTAGCACTTTACATATGTTAACTAATTAGAGCCTCACAACAACCCTGGGAGATAGGTGCTATTACTATGCCCAGAGACACCAAGAGGTTAAGTGACCTGCCTGGGATCAGCTAGCATCTTAGGCAGGATTTGAACCCAATCTTCCTGCATCTAAATCCTGAGCTCAAAAATCCCACCTTCTGCAAGAAGCCTTTCTTAATTCCCACTAGAGCTTTCCCTCTGAGATTATGGCCAAATTTATCTTCTATGTATCTTGTTTGTACATAGTTGTTTGGAAGTTTGTCTCCCCCATTAAACTGTGAGCTCTTTGAGAGCATGGCCTGTTTTTCCTTTTTATTTGAATCCCCAACACTTGGCACAGGGCCTGGCACAAGTAAGCACTTAATATGTGCCTGGATCCACATCCATAGAAAGAACTATAGAGTCTGAATGCATATAGAAGCATACTATTTGTTCTCCATTTCTTTTGTTGTTTTGTTTTGTTTCTTTTTTCTCATGGTTCCTCTCATTGGTTCTAATTTTTCTTTACATCATGACAAATGTAAAAATATGCTTAAATATGAATGTATAAGTAGAGCCTATATATGATTGCATGCTGTGTTGGGGGCAGAGGCGTAGGACGGGGAGAAAATTTAAAACTCAAAATCTTATAGAAGCGAATGTTGAAAACTAAAAATAAATTGTTTGATAAAAAAATAAGTGTCTACAGATCTGATTCAACATATATGTAAATAAAAAATATATGCAAAACAGATATTAGGTATTGGGAGAGGGGGGGAAAGGGTGGAGAGGGAGAAGAGTAGGAAGAGGGAGAAGCATCAGCCTGGAGATTAGAAAAGTCCTCGTGTAGAAGGTGGCATCTGGACTGATCTTTGAAGGCTATTAGTAGCTTTAGGAGATCAAGAAAAGGGAGGAGTGATTCCAGGCATTGGTAGCAGCTGGGGCAGAAATAGAGATCAGGTATCTTGTATGAGGAACAGAAAGTGTGTGTGCCATTGTAATGAAACTAAAGATCCTTAGGGTACATTCTGGTTTCTAGAGTTTCAGTCATGAGCTTTAAACTCAACTCTACATCCTAAAATTCCAAGAGAAGCCCATGTATACATTTATGGCACTGGAGAACAAGCTAAAACCTGTCTCATAGGCTAACAGTTATATTCCATATTGATTTCCCAGCACATGGTACAATTAAGGTAACAGAGATTTTTTTTAATAAGATTATTTAACAAGGTTTTTTACAAGATTCAAAGTAGAATGTACACCCCTAGCAAGAATAGCACTTCTTTTTGAAATGCTTCTTTTAAAGATACCCTCAGCGTATAATCGTTTGAGCATCCTCAATGGTAACAAGTTTATCTCTTTGGTACCGTTTGTGACACAAAGACACGATGTGAATACATGCTGTGGGGAAAATGGCACCGATAGACTTGCTTGATGCAGGATTGCCACAAACCTTCAATTTGTAATGCAATATCTATGAAGTACAATAAAACAAAGGATGCCTGTAATCATGGTGTATTAGAAAAAGCACTTGACTCCAGTCAAGAGGGTTTGAATTTCAACTTTGCTACTTAATCTATCCATGTGTGACTTGGACAAGTCATTTAACTCTTTAGGCCTGGGCTTCTTCATCTGTAAAATGGGAGAATTCCACTAACTAATCTCCGAGGTCCCTAGTTCTAGTTCCAAATTTATGATGCTCCATACAAATCCATGAAAATCCAAATCCAAAAAGTTCTGTTCTAGAAGGTTGCTTCTGTACTTTATAATTTTAGATACCACCCTTTAAAGGATTAACTTTGGTGCATGCAAGAACCTGTTCTTCTTTTCTTCCTTCCACCTATCCTGCCAACACTCCTGCAAATCAAACAGTCTACTTTTCTCCAACACCTCCACAGTCACTACTATGAATATACTTACCCAATCACACAGGGAACAGAACAGGCATACTCACTCCAAGCATTTTATTAGTTACTTTGTACTTACCAGAGGCACTTAGGTGGTGAAGTGAATAGAGCCCTAGGTTTTTTTAAGTCAGGAAGATCTAAGTTCAAATCTGCCCTCAGACAGGTACTGACTGAGCAAGTCACTTAACCTCTGTCTGCCTCAGTTTCCTCATCTGTGAAATGGTGGCAATTATAGCACCTATCTCCCGAGGTTGTTGTGAGTGTCCAATGAAATAACATTAATAAAGCATTTAGTGCAGTGCCTGACACATACTGTATTTAATAAATGCTTGTTTCCTTTCTTATTTCGTCTTACCCAGCGCCTGCTACCAATAATTTCACATGACACGGTCCATTCTACCTCTAAAACTTACTACCCCTGTGATCATGAACAAGTCACGTAAACCCTCATCTGAGTTTCACTTTCCTCCTCTATAATATGGAAAGAGACAATGCCCAGAATGTATGGTTGCTGTGGGGCTCAAATGAGAAATATATACAAAGCAGTGTGCAAAACTTCTGAGTGCTCTATAAATAGAAGTTATTATTTGTATGAACAGATCCCTGATCCAATGCCTCATTGGGGCATGGAGGTACCCTAAGGCTCTCAAAGATTATTCCAGCAGGGTTCAAGCTCAGGCAGCTTCAACCACACTGGAAAGCCTTTTGAGTGCTTGCTTTCCCAGAAACAGCCTAGTTTAGTACAGAGGGGCTTATCACCTCGTACTCTGACTAGGTAGTGATGATTTCTTAAAAGAGAAACACACAAAGTGAAGCCACCTTCCACTTAGCATTGATGGTGGCAGAGCAGAGGAAAAGGGGGCGGAGGGTACTCAGAATCACACAATGTTAGATCATCTATAAATGTTAACTTAACTAGCTAAATGTACACAGGGCCTTTTAAATGGCCCCAAGCTTCTCCTTGCAACAAAAGCCCATCTTTTTGACATCAATATTCTTTTGTCTGATATTGGGAGTCACAGAACACCACACTCTTTGAAAGTTACAGGTCACTCAAAGGGCAATGGAGAGTCACAGAGTGGGTGTAGGAGGATGGAGTATACTACCAACCAAGGATTACATGAAAGACAGCAATCACATCAGAGAAATCTGTGACAGAAGGAGGAGGTGGCTTGATCACATGAGAGTGAGGGATAACTAAAAGAAAAACCCCCATTCACACTGGTACCCACTATGTCAAGAGATCACAAGATCAGAAATTTAGAGCTGGAAGGAGGGTGAGAGGTCATCAAATCCAAAGCTCTCTTTTTACATAGAAGGAAACTAAAGACCATGAGGCTAAGTGACTTATGAAAGATCAGAAGCCTCATAAGGATCTGAGGTAGAATCTGAACCCAGTTCTTCCCTAGTCCAGGTCCAGCACTCTTATCAGCTAGGCCATTTAACTGCCTCTATAAATCTACAGGAAGGCTCCATACGTTGGGTGGACTCCCTTGGAAAGATTTGAGGAAGAACAAGGAAAAGAATGCATTACAGTGATGATAAGGACATAGATGACATGCAGACTGTACCACTGGAAAGAGGACCTGATCAAGGAGATTACATATCTATCACCAATAATGCTAATCTCTTGCTGGTCTAGTTCTTTCTTCCCACTTTTCCAACAAGAATCCATTACTCTTCACAATCACTTACCTGATCTCAACCCTTCCACTCCTACACATCAAAATGAAGTGAATAATCCACACTTTTTTTTTCTCAGCATGATCAAATACATTATCTCTCTTCCAGAATGTGCACCATTCAAAAAGGTTTTTACTATTGCATTCCAAACAGTACTCAGACTCTAGCCGGCAGACCACTTCAAAACATTACTAAGGGAAATCACCCAACTCTTACAGCTCATCTTCTGAACTTTTAAGATGCCTTTTGGCAATGAAAGGCAATTTGCACAACCTGAGTGGATGTGAGAATTTTACTTTAGAGAGTCCTTCTCTGACAAGGCAACCAATTTTAGTGCAAAGATTATACCACGAATTTTGAATTTCCACTTTAGATAAGTGGAGAAACAACAAAAGCTATGTTTGAGAATGCCTTTTTGCTAGGGAAAAAATTGGTACAAGAAGACTCCCTAAATGCCACATGAATTGGATGGTTTTCTCAATTTTTTGGATACACAGAAGCCCAATTCTTCCTCCACTTGCTGACTTAAATTTTCTTCTAATTTCTGTTGTTCTCTTACCTTTAATTTCACAAACTGCCATCTTTATGCTTCCTTTGCTCCCTTTACACACATCATCCTGCGAATCATAATAGGATAATATCCCATTATCTAAAACAAACCAGCGAGGCTGCCAACCTAGAGGGAGTACAAATAGCAGAATGTTAATTGGGGGGAAGGGGTAGGAGCGGGGAAGAAAGCATTTTCACCTTGGAAAGATACTGCTGGCAATTATTTGGTTTTAAATCAACCACTTTTTTTTTTTGGCTCTGTTAACACAGTTTTACCAATTATATTTTACATGATCCAATTTTGCTTAGGTATATCCACCCATTTCCCTTTTCCCCTAGTTGAAAAGATTTCTGTGCAATCTGAGGATGAGTACGGGAATATGTTTCTAAATTTTTTTTAATAATAGTCTCCAAGTCTGTTGCTTACAGATATTTTACCTGAACAATCTGCCTTTTGTCACAGCATACCCTCTACTGTCATGTCTATACCTAAAATCCAGCAAGGTTAGGATATTCTTTTATTTTTTCATTCATTCATTCAACAAATATATTAAGCAAGCAAAGAAGACTGAGAAGAAACAGCCTGACAGGCAGAAGGAGAAACCAAGAGAAGTGTTACAAAAACTCAAGAAAGAAAATGAAGGAAGAAGGGAGGGTTCAGCAGTTTCAAAAGCTGCAGAGAGGTCAAGAAGGATGAGGACTGAGAAAAGGTCATCAGACTGAACAATTGAGAGATCCCTGGTAAGCTTCAACAGTATTTCCAGTTGAGTGATGAGGCTGGAAGCCAGACTGCAAGAGACTGAGGTGTGACAGGACAGGAAAAGGAAGCAAGAAGCATAAACATTTTTCTAGTTTGCTGCACAAAGGAAGAAATATCTACAGGGTGTCCCAAATGTCTCAGTGCAGTTTTAGGCTTTACTAGTTTAATAAGACACCCTATAGATAGTCTGGCAGAATCATAAAAACAAGTGAAAGTTTTTAAGGGAAGCAGAGACAGGGGCATTTTTATTAACAGCAGGGAAAGCGTAAATAGCTAGAGGTGACAGGGAGGGGAATACCAGAGGACTTAGAAGGAGATGGGACAAAGGGCATATGCAAAGGGGTTGGCCTTCGAAGAGCAAACAGCCATCTCTTCATGAGAGGCGAAAGTAAATGAGAGAACAGCAGCGGATAATGTAAAGGGGTTTTGAAATGTAGAATAGGGGGAAAGAGGGAACTTAAGGCAGTGAATGGCTTATTTTCTCAATAAGGTCTGTGGCAAAGTCTTCAGCTGAAAGGAAGTAAGGAGGGGGTGGTATGGGAGACTTAAAAAGAGAAAAGAAGGTTGGAAGAGCCTCGTGAGAAGTGTGAGAGCCAAGAAAAGACTGCCATTTTGCAATGAGGACCCAGCTGTAATCTGTAGTGAATCCACTCCAGGAGTTTGGGTGACTTTCTCTAGCCCTGGTTAGCAGCAAGTGAATAATAGGGGAAAAGTGGACAGAGTGTTATGGGATCCAAAATCCCAAATAAAAGACTAATGCCCTTTTCTTTCCCTGAAGCCAGATTACTAACATATTCATTCAATTGATATTTACTGAGTACCTCCAGGGTACACAGCTATACCCAGGACAGGAGGCAAAATTGCTGAAGTGAAGCATGGTTTCCCTCTGCCCCCAACTCCCACCTGTTTCCATTCCAAATGAGAAAGTTGAGGTCACTGTGTTCCTTAGATGTTCATCAAGCCCACTCTTAATCTACAGGCAGTCTGCCTGTTCCTGATCCTTGTGTGACTATTAAATCACAACATAGTTCAGATCTTTCAAGTGTCCAGCCAAAAAAAAACCCCAAAAAACCATCAATAATGTAAAAAATTGAGGAAGTTCAAATCTTAGTTAGCTTAGTTACTTATGTGCTAAATTGATAGAACTTTTCCCCCACTGAGGACCAGCCAGACACTAATTAACAAAAGGTAAGAACAAACACCACCAAACTCACTCCCAAATCTTTAGGCATGTGGTATCTCATCTCACTGACGGCTGGTACTACCAGAATAAAGAGTTGTAGATGCTACACTTTGTACCTTATAAATCGTAATAACAGCAGCAGAAAAGGCTTTTCTCAAGAGATAAGTGAGGTGGCACCAACAAGATATAATCAGATTCAGTCTCTATGTCTGATTTTGCTTAATGCTGGTGTAGTGGTTGGAATTGGGGCAGCTAGGTAGTGCAGCGGATAAAGTGTCAGGGCTAGAGTCAGGAAGACTAATCTTCCTGAGTTCAAATCAGACAATTACTAGCTATGTGACCCTGGGCAAGTCACTTAATCCTGTTTGCCTCAGTTCCTAATCTGTAAAGTGAACCAAAGAAAGAAATGGCAAACCACTCCAGTATCTTTGCCAAAACCCCTAATGGGGTCACAAAGAGTCAGATATGAAAGAAAAGTGGTTAGAATGCTGACCCTGAAGTTAGGAGAACTGGGTTCGAATCCAGCCTTGTTCCTATGCTCCCTTGGCAAGTCACTTAAACCTCTCCTGGCTCAATTCCTCATGAATAAAATGAGGGGATTCAACTATATATTGGCCTTCAAGATCCCTTCCTTCTACCTCTATAAATCTATGATCTGTTTTTACAGGGCAGAGTTCAAAAGTTAGGGGTTAGTGGTTAAATAAAATTATTAACATAAAAACAAAAAGTATCAAAATAAAACATTTTTAAGAGAAGAGAAAATGGAGATAATGACAAGATGGTAAACTCTGCCCCTGTGCCAATCAACAAGTCCATAGGGCACAAACATAATTACCTAAAAACAAACACCTCTCTGTTGTGTTTCCTCATCTATAAAATAAGGTTGAATCTGATGATCTTCAAAAGTTCCTTCCACCTCCAAATCCTATCTAATATCCTAAAAGTCATGCTCAGTGTAGCATTTTTCCAAAGTCCAGGCTATTTGCACCTCTAGCTACAACAAAGCTCATATATTTCATTGCTAGAAAGGCCATTCCTGCTCTCACATAAAATATTTGTTCATATTTTAGATAATATTCTTTTAAAAAAAATTTGGTTATCTAGTTTCCCAGAATACAGCAAACTTTAGAAAGACACAGGTGTCCTAAGAGTAGCAATAGGAAAAAAATGACTAGGTGAAACCCAGAAATGACATCAAAGTAGAAAAATTATAAAAAACAAACCACAGAAATCAAAAATGATAGTAGTTAAGAGCCATTTTAATCTAGGAACAAAGAGTTCACATCTCAATAGCTTCTTTTTTTTCTCTCTAATAGTTTCTAAAAGCAGAACTGAGCTGTAAGCCAGTACAGTAACTGACGGTCATAATGGCTGACCCAGAGACATTAAGAAAATGTTAATTTTGTGTTCAGTATATACACTACTTAAGAAATCAAGGCAGCACATAAAAAAATTTCTATTGAAATAAGAGAAAAAGCTTAAATGTACAATCTTTAGTTATCCCGAATATACTCAATGAGGCATAGTCCTATTCACAATAGTATTCTCATGCTGATACATGCATGCAGATATTAAGTGTTTAATAAATGCTTTTGGTTTGGACTGGACTGATGCATTAAAGCAATGAAAACATGTTCTTTCCTTTTCAATTTGCCTATTCAGTTTGAATAGCTATTCTCGGTGAGTCTTTGGTAGAAGCAAGTAGCAGCAAGTGCCCCAGCAAAAGAAAAGAGCAGACAACTGGGGCAATACTGAAGTAGATTCATCTCTGCCCTGAATGCATTGAAAGAACATGTGCCTTTTACTGTACTGCAAATGTGTACTATGTTACTAACGTACCAGTGCACTGTTTTATTAAAAGTACATATAGTCACCAAAGTGATTTCCTTAGACCCTACAGCAGACACAACTATGGCACTATTGAAACTCCTAACCTCTAAGTTCAGTGTATTGTGTATTCATTGTCCATTGTGCATTGTAATTGTACATTAATTGTAATTGCGACTATTAAATCACTTAACTATTTTAGGTAATATTTAATGTGACATTCCTATGAACATGCACCAGAGAGGACTATATAAATATGCAGATGGAAGAATGGATTCCCTATCTATTCAATTTTTTTAAAAGAACAATTTTTTTTCAACTCAAGGCAACTTAAAATTATTAAAACCCTATCCCATCAAAAAGCATTTACCAATATCAATATCAGCATATGAAATATTTTAATTATATACAGAATAGTCTGACGAAGGGTAACCTGAAACATTTTTTTAAAAAAAGAATCCTACTCTACCAAACATCAGATAAAGTTTCAGCAAATTTCCATGTTACGTGTTAGGATTTCACTTAAATACTTTGAAATATCTGACGAAAGCATTAAAACATTTGTGGTTTTAAAAATCAACCAACTGTGCTTGGTGCCAGATTTGACGAGAAAAATGACCAATGAGAACATACTTACTGTCAGTTACTAAATTATGTCTCATCTCAATTACAGAGTTTGCAAGGAAACTCAGCATTAAGTGGTTTCTAAAGCCTGGAGAGTATAACCAACCCTGACACTGCAGGCTCCAGCACCAGAGATAACTCAGATTACAGCTGTGCTTGGCCCTTCTGTTGCAAGGAAGGAAGCCTTTGCATTTCAACCACATAGCTACATCAAAACAGCCCAACTGTTCCATGGAGCTGTTTGGAAAATATCTGCTATTAAAAGAAACATTTCTTTTAGATGTTAATAGCTTGGCTCTTCAGGGAGAATAAAATATACAATACAAATTTAGGTATAAATCTGGCCTTTATCTTCCAATACATGGAATACGCCTATCTGATTTGGGGCAATCCTAGCTCAGTGTGGAGGTACACAGACAGGTTCAACACAAGATTAGATGCAGAGGAGTTTAGGGTGGCATAAGATTACCAAAGAACTTAATGCTTTTTTTTCCCCAGAAGGAAGAATGGATATAAAGTCAAGATTTTAAAGCCTTATCTAACCAACCTGAATAGCTTACTGAAAACTCCAACAACTGCATACTTTAAATCCATTTCATTTTAAGGTTAGTCTAGATTATCTAGAAAATTCTTTAAATATTTAGCAATCCACACACCTGCTGGTCTCCCTATGCTACTAAAGGCCATTTCTAGGCATTTATTTATTCAATTCAGTTTCATTCAGGAAAGACCCTTCCTCCCCCAACCTCTTGTTTGAAACTAATCAGTTCACTTTAGTATGTGGCCCTGATTCAAAGTCTAACTAGTTGCCAGAATTAAAAGAACAAACTAATGCCTCACTAAAAAGAGATCCTTATTCTATAGGATGCTTAAGGAAACAACTCCAAACTCAAGACTGTGGAAACCTTTAAAAACTTAAATGAGGGAGGTTTATTTGTTGTTGGGTTTTTGGGGGGGGGGGGGTTGTTTGTTTGTTTTAGAAATATTGTATTACTAAAAGTACTTCAAATGGTTTTTTTTTAAATACAAACTTAAAAGAAACATAGCAGCACAATACATCCAGACAATTCAAACATTACCAAAATGACAAAATGTCAGTCTTCCTTTGGAAGATGTTGTAGAGAAAAGGAATAACAATTAAGACAGAAGACGTAGTGGTTACCTCTCTCTCTAGGAACTTCTCTCGGGTTTACTAGGAAATGACAAAACAGAGAAGACAAATAGAAAACAGCTGGGAGAAGGTAGGCAAATAGGGGCTGACAAATGTGTTAGATAGGAGTGACAAAAGAAAAAAATAGAGGCAAGGAGGTTCTAAGCCAGAAAAGAGTACCACCTCCACTATCTTCCACACTCCCATATCCCCACCTCCACCACCACTGCCACCCTTGCCCTAGTCAAGCACAGACACACACTTTTGGGGGTACCTTGTTGCAGAAGAAGGCTGAAGTTTTTCACAGGGATCAACAATGGGGTTTGCATGATAACTGAAGGGAAGGTGAGAAGGGAACTGAGGGGTTTGGGGAAAATCAGAGCAGATTGGATTAGAGAGTTCAAGGATGAGAAGGATGGGCCCACAATTTAATCTACTTTTTCCACGGGGCTTCCAAGATTGACAGCACCTTTTCTCCTAAGAGCCCAAACACATACATATATGCCTGCTTCAAAACACCCTTTCTCCTAAGACCATACTCATCACACTCATACACACACACACATACACTTCACAACACTCTTCTCCTAACACTATATCTCATCTTACACACATACCCACACCTTTCACAGCACCCCTTCTAAAACCATATCCTGTCATACACACATACACAACACCCTTCTAATATACACACACACATACATGCTTCATCACAACACTCCTTAAGACCATATTCCAGCATACACATATGCACAACACCCATCTCCTAAACACACAGACACAGACACCCATGCACTCTTCTCCTCATCATACATACACATACATATGCTTGCTTCACCACATCCTTCTCCTAGGACCATGCTCATCACATGCACGTTACACCAACGCTCTCTTAGGAGCATACCCATCACTCACACACTCACACACACACACGCACTCGCACACTCACCTCCCCGCACCCGCACTCCCCCCCCCCCCCCCCGCGCACAGACACACACACACACACACACACACACACACACACACACACACACACACACACACACACACACACACACACACACACACACACACACACACACACACACCCTCGGCCCGTCCTGCCCCGGGCCCCTCGGCACCTGTGAGATAATTGGTCCACTTGTACAGAACCCCCTCCATCCTTCAGAACCCGGTGCCGCGCATCCTCCTCGCGGGCGCCCCAGCTCGGCCTCCTCCTCTCCGGGCGCCGCTGCTCCCGCGCCGGCGGCCCCTCCCCGGGGCCTGCGCCTTCAGCCGGGGCGGGAGCGACCGCGATCACAGTCAGCCCCTCTGGAGGGGGCTCCCCGCGCCGGGAAGGTCTGCGCGGCCCCGGCCCCGGCCCTGGCCCCGGCCCCGGCCCCGGCCTCGGCCCCGGCCCCGGACAGCAGCGGCTGGGCAGCAGCGGGGCGCCGGCCTCGTCATTCCCCGCCGGGGCTCGCGGGCTGGGGGCGAGCCGGAGCCTGAGCGTGCGCCACCCGCAGCTGCCCTCGCCCCTTCCCGGCTCCGCAGCCCACCTCCCTCCCCCCGGCCTGCCTCCTTCCCTTCTTCCTTGCCTCCCTCCCCTCGGGCTTCTCCTTTATTTTCTCTGACCCCGACACGGCTTTTACTTCCTGGATGAAAGGGGCCGGCTCCGAGAGCGAAACCCCACCCCGGCGGCGGAGCCTGGGGAAGGGAGGGGATCCCCCGGCTCTCCGTCCTCCTCTTCCCTTCCTTCTCTCCTTATTCCCCCTCCCCCTCTCCTTTTCCCTCTCCCCTTTCTCCTCACCTTCTCTTCTTCCCTCCTCCCCTCTCCTCCTTTCTCCTTTTTCTCACCCCGACACCTCTTCCTTCTTCTCCTCCCCTTTCCCCACTCCCTTCCCCTCACCTGTTCCTCCTCCTCCTCCCCACATCCCCTCTCCTCCTTCCCCCTCCCCCTCTCTTCTCCCTCTTCTCCCCCTTCCTCCTCCTTGTCCTTTCGCCCCCTCAAAGGAAAAACAAAACCCCCAGGGGAACTGTCACCTCAGCACTGCTGGACCTCCCTGAAATCCCAAGGTCCATGCTTTCCTGCACTTCCTTCTGGCTCCTGCTACCCAACAACAACAACAACAACAACAATCTAGTATACATGTTTTAATGCTTTAGGGTTTGTAAAGCTATTTCACTTGAGCCTCACAACAATCTTGGGAAACAAGTAGTATTTATCCTACCACCACCACCACCTCACCACTCAAGGTTAAGGGGCAACTAGGTTATCTTCCTGAGTTCAGATCTGGCCTCAGACATTAGCTGTGTGACTCTGGGCAAGTCACTTAACTCTGCCTCAGTTTTGTCATCTGTAAAATCTGTAACATGAGCTAGAGAAGGAAATGGCATACCAATCCAGTATCTTGGCCAAGAAAACCCCAAAAATGGGGTCATGGAAAATAGAACAAGACTGAAACCACTCAACAGTTCTAGGTTAAGTGACTTGCTCAGGGTCACACAATTAGTGCCTGTATCAGAATTGGAACTGGGGTCTTCTTGGGACTGAAAGGGACTTCCAATTCCTTCATTTTATAAATGAGGAAACAGCCTAAGAGTGTAAATGTCTTGCATGGGTTTACACAGCTATTAATGTCCTTAGCAGTATATTTGTGTCCCCCAAACCTAGTAAGCATATGCGATTGTTTCCTTTCTTCTTTAGACCTGGAAGGGACCTCTGAGAATACAACTCCTTGTTTCATAGATGAGGAAATAGCCTGAGAGACATAGTCAAGTTCCCAAGGACACAAGCTAGTGAGTGTCTGAGGCAGGATTCCAACCCTAATCTTCCTTAGAGAGGGAAGGGAACTCTGCTGTCATCTAAACTCCTTACTTTTACAGATGAGGAAACTGTGGAGGAAAGAAGTTTTGTAGCTTGTACAGGGTTTCCAGTTAGTGAGTGTCTGAAGCAAGATTCCAACCTTTCCCCACCTAGCGACCTCTCTGAACCATAATCTGTCTCTTCCATCCCAACTGCTTTCTTTATCAGGTTTGGTTTAAATGAGACACTTTTTACTGTGTGACCCTGGGTAAATTACTTAACTGCTCTTTTTCTCATCTATAAAACAACTCAATGACCTCCAAAGTCCCTTCCAAGCTTTAATGCTCTTATCCTAATTAATAGTGCTGACTTGTGAATTAGAGAGATGCCCTGAAGTGAACAAAAAATACTAATGCCCTGAGCATGGTGCATGCTTCTTATGTTCCTATCAAATAGCTAGTTGCAAGCATTAAGGAACAAGAATATTCTTACTGTCAGGTAATAAAAGCCTCTGGGAATGTGCCTGGATTTTGTTTTGTTCTTTACAAATGTTATTTAATACAAATAAGCACCAAGTCATAATTTTGTTGCTGTTGTTGAATGAAATTGAAGATGTTTTCTTTATTCTTATTGTAAATTCCTCCTTTGTATCTTCCCAGCCCTACTCTTGGGATCCTTAGAATTAGGGATTTAATTTAATTAGAGGTTTAGAGCTGCCTAAATGGACTCTGGGCTCTGGGTCCTGGAGGAAGCAAACTCAGAGGCTATTTAATCCAAAACCTCTGGTTTTACAGATGAGGAAACTAAGATATAGGGAAGATTAAGCCACTTGGCAAAGTCACATAGGTAGTAATAAATCCTCAAGATGTGAGATTATGACTTCAGGTCCTCTTTTGACAGCTCAACCTGTGATCTTCTCAATCTAATTCAGAACCTTCGAATTTTTTAACAGTGAGGAAACTGGAATCCAGAGAGGGTAAGTGATTTGCCCAAGGTCACAGCATTGTATATTATTATATACGTGGCATTATATGACTGGCACCTTTATTTTGACTTGTGAACATTTGAGGGTAGGTATCTTCTCTCCCCTCTACCAATTATACGGCTCCAGGACTGACTTGCATCTTTGTCTCTCCGAAGCCCCAGCAACAGCCCTGCAAGATATTAAACATTTGTTGATTTGGACTGAACCTTCCCACCCTCAGCGATGAGATTCCGGCTCCTTTTCAAGGTGCTAGGTTTGTGACTTTATCCAAGAGAAACCCTCTACTAAGAAATCCTGGAGCCAGAGAAAGTAAGCAGCCTACCAGAGTGAACAAGACATTTAGTTTGGCTGGTCAGGTAACATAGCTGAGATATTTAACTGCACCCAGGTATCACCGTTTATAGGTTAACACACCCACCTCATTACTGGACTCAGAAGGAAAACGCTTAATGCGTGGGGGGGGGGGGGCAGGGGGGAAGCCCATTACGGAATGCGAACAGGGTTGTTGCTTTCTTAAAAGTCTCAAGAAAATTACTGGAACTTTTCGCAGTCCCATTCCCAGACACAGGATTTTCTATTGCTGCCCTAAGGGATACTGGAACCAGGAAAACCAGACTGAAATCATTTCCCCTCGAGTCGTTATTTTCCTTTAAAACTTTGAAATCAATGTTTGTAGCCAGCAACTTTACCAACCGCAGGTCTCCAAGCACTTTCAAAATTTCACTTTCAGGGCAAGTAAAATTAATCAGAAGTCGGTCGGTTAAGTCACACTTAAAAAACTCTCGGACTGAGTAAGTAGTATCTCTGCTTTGCAAGCTTGCAGCGTTTGGGACGTTTTTCACACCCTCCAGGATAATCAATACAAAACAGCCCAGTAAAAGGAAAGGGGAACTTAGCGGCGGCGAGGTGAGCCTCTCCCCTGCCAACCAGCCTCTGACCAAGTTCGGCATGGCTTTCGGCAGCACAGCCTGCGTCCCACCCAGCCCAGACAAGAGCCGCCCCTTGGAGGTGTGACAAGGCTCCACCTCCCAGCGCCCCTCTATGACGTAACAATGCCACGCATCTAGAGCCTAGTTAGAGGGTAGAAGAATAGAGGAAAGCGGTCCTGGGGATCTTTTGGGAACAGCTTCGGGAGTCATGCATTTTTACTTTAAATGCGTTCTTTTCTTGCAGGCTTTAAGCCTTTTTTCTCTCCTTACTCAGGGACAAAAACTAGAAGAAAGTATGGATGAAGTGAAAATAGAAGTTTTGCATCTTCCAGAAAACTGTTCTCCCAAAAGCAAGAAAGGGGATCTACTAAATGCTCATTATGATGGCTACTTGGCAAACGGCACCAAATTCTACTGCAGGTAGGAAACGCAAGCTAATGACATCGTTGTCCAAGTGTGTACCAAATCTGACCTTGCTCCCTCCAACAGATAACTAATTATGTTCGATAGATAGGGAGTAGGAAACGGAATCCTGTATCCTTCTAACAAATCAGACTAAGTTCTGCATTTATGCAAAATCTGAAGATACAGTAACTAGATATTGGGACCAAGTTGTATCTATGGAGCAGGATGATTCATTTTTCTTTTGAATTCATTTTTTCTTTCTCTTGATTGAATATTACTGTTAAAATTACTGAAAGGTGGAGATGTAGGCCCAAGATGTAACCATATCTATGCTCTTTTTTTTTCCTCTTTGTACACTGAAGTCATTTGAGCTATACCAGAGAGTGTATATATTTATATATATTGTACTATACATATATGTAGATAGTGAACTATGTGTGAGAGTATTTTTCATATTATTCATCTTTTTTTTCCCCTCAAATGATTGAAGAGAGTCTGAATACTGATACAGTAGAAAGGTCCTGTGTTACTCCTGCATTTCTTACTCGAGATTTCCGGAGTTTTAGGAGGCATTTTGCAAGTTGTGCTCCTAGGGAGCACTATGCCACATACTAGGAGAATTTCTGTGGCTGCAACACGAGTCTTCTTCGGTATTATTTCAGTTTTTGCTTGGACACAACCTCCCAGTCCCAATGTTATATCAGTTAATATATAATTTATAATTATATACGATATATAATTATATATCATAATTATATATCGTGTATAATTATATATTATAATATGTAATTTTTTCCTCCAGTCATACTTGAAGTCTAAAAAGGGTGATGGTAGGAGACAACGGGGGGGAAAATGTTCTTCCTGTTTAGAAGCCAACTGGAATTCTCTGAGGCCGATTATTCCATGAATTCAACCAATTAAATCCTACAAGTATTTATTAAGTACCTACTTAATATTTTAAAAAGCACTGAGCTAGGTGCTTGGGAATATACAAAAAAAAAAAAAAATGACAGCTTCTGCTCTCTAGGAATGTAAATTATAAATGGGTGTTGGGGAAGATAACGACAATTATAAAAATATAGACAAGGGAGAAAACACTAATTGGGGGCTAGGAAAAAATTTCACAGCTTCATTAGAAAAAACAATTAAGTTGAGAATAAAAAAGAAGCAGCCCCTTGTTCCTAGTAGCTTTGGACAAATTATATTCTTATTCTGACCCTGTTTCTAAGGAAACTTAAGCTAAAACTATTTAGGAATACACAGTATTCCTGTGTACTCACTGAAGAATACAAAATGGCTAGCATAAGGGGTGTGCTGGAGCCAGCTCAGAGTGGCAATTTAGAGAGCCAATTGTTAAGTTTTCATGTGAGCATATTTATTCCTTGGAAGTGGCTAGTGCAACCAATTATACTTGGTTTATTTTTTTTTTTGTTGTTGATTGTTTAGACTTAAAAAGGTGACGTATGAGGAAAATGTTAATACAGATTAAACTTGAAAGTGTGTTCTGAGTATGTTTTTTATTTTCTGTGAGACCTGGTTATCAAATATTAACCAGCACACCTCCAAGTATAGATTAACTAATGATACAGAGCCATTTAATATTTAAAAGAGTATCTCAGTTCTGATGTATATATTTGACACTGTTAATTGTCTAGTATATTATCTCTAGTCTCTTACTTTCCATGGCGTGATTTTCTCATTACTTAAATATATTATCTTTTTTTCTTCTCCTTTTTTTTTTTTTTTAACTGTAGCCGGACACAAAATAAAGGTCACCCAAAATGGTTTGTTCTTGGTGTTGGGCAAGTAATAAAAGGCCTAGATATTGCTATGATGGGTATGTGTTCTGGAGAAAAAAGGAAAGTGACAATACCTCCTTCACTGGCCTATGGAAAGGAAGGCTATGGTAAACTTGATAATCCTATTCTATTTCAGTTGTATTTCAAAAATGAATCATTAGAAAAGCTAATCATACAGCTTCTCTGTTCTATAGTGCTTTATTCTAGGTGCTTTATTATTTTTAATGTCCTCAATACTTCACAGATATGAATACTTCCACTCCCATACAAAATTTATTTCTTCATGAGCGGCTTATGAACCTTCCGAAAGTCATGTGGTAGCCAGCCTTCTGGATTGGAAGTTAGAGATCCTGGGGTTCAAATTCCAGCTCTGACACTTGCTCCCCTTTGACTTTGGACAAACTTACTTAACTTCTCTGGGCCCTCAGTTTCCCAACATGCAAAATTAAGGGGATTGGTTGGACTAAAATCCTTAATGTCCCCCTGAAACTAGGGTTTATGTTTTTCATAAATTCATATATTTTATGTTTTTCAATGTTGTGCTGGTCCTCACACAATAGACTTAAGTTGAGATTGTTTCATTCTTAGTATTTCAAACCTCAGTGCCTAGCACAATGTCTGGCAAATAGTAGGTGATTAATAAATGCTTGTTGATTGATTGCTGAACCACTTTGGCTAGGACTTTGAGGTGCTTGCCACTTCCCTGGCAAAACTTTCAAGAACTGAGTGGGGTCACTGCTACTCCACACTAAGGTGCTGGAGTTGGCCTTTAGTGGAGGTGAAAATAATAATTCACATTTGTAGCACTTAAGGTTAGAAAAATACTTTTCCTCCAAAAGTGTGCAGCTATTATCCTCATATTACATAGGATGAAACTAAGTCTCAGGAAGGTTGTGACTTGGTTATGTTTATCCACCTAGTAAAGGATAAGATAGGAATTCAGGCCTAGATATTCTGGTTCTTTCCATTACTCTTTTTTTGTACCATGCTCTCTCTCACGATGAAAGTCAAACTAAAAATAAAGACAGCTAAAGATAAAGGAGAGGATTCCCAGAGACGTTTTTAAATCAGTGTTTGAGATGTGGTAAATGTCACTGACTCAACCATACACAAGAGAAAATTCTTTATAGAGTGCTGAGCAAGTGGGCTGAAGTCTTCAGTGTCCATCTACTTCTTAATCCACCACAGAGAAGGGATGAAAAAGAGAAATGGACCTTATGCACATAGGCAAAATGCCAGCTCTCCCCAGTAAGATAAAGTTCAACCCTAGAGCCTTAGGGAACATAGTTCCTCCTTCTGCCTTCTGGACTTCCAGAAGATGTGTCCAAATTGGATTTGAAAGAAGTAGCATGCTGTGTGAGAGAGCACTGGAAGTCATTGCTACGTCCCTGAGGTGTGGGCATTATGCAGAGTGTCCCAAAAGTCTTAGTGTAGTATGAGGTTATTAAAGCTTAAAATGGCACTAAGACTTTTGGGACAACCCTGTGTGACTACAAAAAGCAGTGAGAGTCTAGTAATCACAACCCCCCCCAACACACACACACACACACACACACACACACACACACACACACACAGTATGCTGTCAACAGAGTGGTTCAAATGATTAATAGTGTAGTTCACATGTATTAAAGGAAGTGCTGGGACCTCATTCTGGCCACTTGTTTGTCCATTCTGTCTGTCAGTGACATATTACTATAGATTCATAGGGTTGAAGGGGACTTCAAGAGATCAGCTAACTTGTGTCAGTCAGACAAATTGACCTCTAAAGCACCTAAAGAGAAGTTTGTCAATATTTCTTCTCCCAGAGTCTAATTATCTATATAGCTAATTCCTGCCACTCCAAATTTATCTGCTTATATTTGTCTATTATTTGGTCACATCTGAACATTCAGCATCCCCTGGAAAAAAAGGATTTATATACCAAGTTTTCAGTTTTGCAGAGACCCATAAAGATTCACTTATTTCATTTCATGTGGGACTTGAAAATAGTAATTATGTTCCATATAATAGTAGGAATTTGAATCCTTTATCCTTCAAACAAAATCAGATTAAGTGTTGCATTGTGCAAAAACCGAATGAAGATGCTAGATATCAGAGCCAAGTTACATCTAAGGAACAGTGAATTCAAAGCAGTAGGGATAGAAAGGCGGCTTTAGTACTTTATCTTTCAGGAGGAGTAACTGCAGTAAGACATTCATGGACTCTAGTAGACCTAGAAAAGGTGAGATAACTAGGAGCTAGAGAGACCCTAGCCCTTCCAACTACACTAAGTAGGTATCTGCCTCCTAATAGGCCTTTGGGCTACTGAGCCAATAGAAGTTGCACTTTGAGAGGCCTAACTTCTCATATGGAGTAATATCTACCATGCAAATGGGTAAGGTCAATGCTGAAAGGGAAAAAAAAGACATATATGTATATAATATATATAATACACACACACACACACACACACACACACACACACACACACACACAAGAAGAATCTTAGAGCTTTAAAGACTTACCAAGGTTTGAATTAGGCTTTTTTTTTCCTGACTTCAAATATCACAGGTTTCCTTTATAGGTTAAAAAAAAACCTTCTCTCAGCCACATAGGAGAACTTTATAGTTTATTTTTTTGTTGTTGTTTTTTAGGCAACTGGGGTTAAGTGACTTGCCCAGAGTCACACCCATAGTGTCAGGTATTTGGTCTGAGGCTGGATTTGAACTGAGGTCCTCCTGACTTCAGGGCCGGTGCTCTATCCACTGCACCACCTAGCTGCCCCTACTTTATAGTTTATGAATCTGACACAGATACTGCCATAGTATGCTTCCATTTTACCAGGCATTTCAGTTAATTTGTTCTTTAGATCCTGGGAGCTATAAAGGCTGGTATTTTCTAATAAAACCTATTCCCCTGAGCACTAGTTGGGGTTTGGTTTGGGGGAGAGGGAGTGGAAGAGAAGGATTTTTTTGTGTGATCCAGTACTGTTTCTGTACCTGTGGTCAAGCCTTAAATAACCTAGATTTCACCTGCTAAAACCTGAGCACTTTGTATTCTTTGAATAAAAGGCTCTTTATAAATCTAACAGATAAACTTGAGTCCTTGTTACTTAATTTTGCCCACAATGGAGAGGGAAAACAGCTAACTTTCTTTAAAGTAAACTTTTTAATGGCCTCTAAAGACCATTATTAACTTTTCTCTTTTACTTTTCCTTCTTTTAATTAATTTTTAAAAATAATCATTCTTAATTCAACATTTGTTAAGTGCTTACTGCATATGAAGTTCTATGGTAGGAGCTAAAAGGCTCTACTGATAAATGTCATCATACCAGAATACATCTACTTTGAATGCAAAACAGATAGCAGTATATAAGATCACTGTCTTGTCCTTAAGTTTATTGAGCTATTGTGGAACTTGCATTGGAAAGAGCAATAGCCTACGAACCAGGGCATTGAGATAGTAAATAAGCATTAAGTACCTACTACGTGCCAGGCACTGTGTTAAGTGCTGGGGAAAGGCAAAAGGTGATTCCTGCCCTCAGAGAGCTCATAATCTAATGGAGAAAACTAAAAACACATAAATATGTGCCAACTAAATACAGGATAAACAAAATAATTAACAGAACTTCCCTCTGTTAATTAGAATTAACTAGAATTCAGTTTTGGTCTTTGCTCTGCCATTAATTATCTATGCTGACTCTTGGATAAATCACTTCTGGGCGTTAGTTTCCTTCTATGTAACACTAAAAGTATACGTAAATAATGACAATGGTCCCTTTTGCTTCTAACATTCTATGTTTCTATGATATATAAAATGACCACTGATAGAATTTAGAGCTAGAAAGTTTAATTAAAAATTTAAGTTTGATAAAACATTTGCTGTCTCATCTCATTGTACACTTAATAAAATGTGTTAATTTTATAAAACATTTCTAAGAAGCAAGAAGTTTGTTCATAATTATAAGTTTATTTATTTTTACAAAATTCATTACTGTATATACACTTAATCTCAGATATAACTCTATCTAAGAAGAAATTGAAAAAAAGCATTTTCTCTGCACCATCCTTGTCTTCTGCTACAGGGCATTCCTGCATGTCTTGAAATGCATGTGGTTCTTTAGGGCTTTACCCTGTCTATTCATGTGGTACATAGCATTTCTCAAAGCCTTCGTGTCATAACACTACCTTATGGGCTTCATCTCTTAATGTCAGTCTATCTATATAGCAAATGCAGGTAATCCTATATATATTTGTTGAAAGAAAAACTTTCATATTGGCAATACTTTGCACTCTTGCAATTTTTATTCAGAAACTTGCTTGTTTGTGTATACATGTGTGTGTGCATGTATATATTTTTACATAAAAAAGTGTTAGCCTTGGAATTTGAGTTTTGTTTTCTTTTGTTCTTATCAAGGAAGTTTTCTTCCTGTAACCAGAAGATTATAGCTGGACAAATTAGAAACATGAAAATCAGTTTTCCAGAAATCATCATTGACTATCTAGCTCTTTGCTTATAGGTCAGGTAAGCATGTTGACACAATACTAACCTTTGCTATTAATTGCATGATGCATAGGTCAGATTTCTTTTGTACTGACTCACTGCTCCCCTTCTGTTTTTGTCTCTGGCTGTAACATTTCTTTCTCTTTAAATTCCATAAACCTTTTTGCAAAAATTTTCTTTTACAATAGAATACTTAACCAATGTCTACTATGCACATGATTACCAGTTCTTGCCAATAAGGAAGAGATATTTTGGCACAAGTGAATGGAAATAAGTCAGTTATTTCTTTGAATATTTTATATTAATTGATTAACTGAAATATATTGTCTCTTAGAAGAAACCTGACGTGGTGAATGGAGTTCACTAGCCTTGTAGTCAGAAAGACCCAGATTCAGGTTTTGCCTCAGATACATTACTAGCTGTGTCTGACGTTGAGCAGGTTAACAACCTCCCAGTAACCCCAAGAAACTCTGTAACACTATGAATTACAGACATTCTGCAAGGCTTCTTAAATTTTTTCCATTTGAGACCCCTTCAGCACTTCTTAAACTGTGGGTTGCAACCCTGTACGGGCTAAGAGTATAGAGTATAAGTAACTAGAGTATAGCCCTTCTCCATTGGACTGAGGAAATTCCCTTTGTTCCCATACTAATGAAATCACAGGTCCAGATCAAAAAAGAAAAGTCGGCTATCTAAGTGAAAACCTCACGTGCTGTAAGTCAATAGATTGGTTCTTCATTAAATATTCACGTTCCCTCCAAGATCTTTATAATTATAACATATATCACATATCACAAATGAAATCTCTTCACAAAATATATAGATGTTTCTATTCTGCTACTCTTTTTTTTCATTTTATATTGAATCAAAGTCATGGCTAATGTTCATTTTATCCATGTTTTCAAGTAATTACATAATAACTTAATTTTCTAAGAAATGTCAATAATTCTGAATCCTCCTGTCTATAAGCCTTACCTTGAGTTCTATATTTTTACATCTTTTTTCTGCATTTTTCTCTTTTAATTACCATGTTCATAACCATATTTGAAAATAACAGATTCTGCCAACAAGGGCAAGATGAGTGGTGATAACTGGTTCTACCTTAATCAAAATATTTTAAGTCTATGATTGCTTTGAAATGGCATACTTTGGATGAAAATCAGAGGGAAAATGCTTAAGAAATCATAAAAAATGCTAATGAAACACTTCAAAAAAATATAAAGGCTTCAGTATTCATAATGTAATTTATCTCATCTTTGACCAAAATCTGTGTTTACATTTAATATTTTTTTGGTCATCTCCTTAGCACAAGGCTTGATTCCACCCGATACAACACTGATTTTCGAGATTGAACTCTATGCTGTGACCAAAGGACCCCGAAGCATTGAAACATTTAAACAGATAGATGTGGACAATGACAAGAAACTTTCTAAAATGGAGGTAACCCAAGCAAAACCTAATGTCAGATTTCATTGTTTCAGTAGATGTTTGTCCCAAAGAAGGTTTCCCTTTTGCATTTCAAACTCTAGCTTGGGCTTTCTTTCATATAGCTTTCAATTCTGCTATCTCTGACATTCCTTCACTTTCTCTAAAGTTGCTCTTCCCCGTTTGACTTCCAGCTCCTTCATCCCTTCCTTTTATCTCAGATCTTCTCCTCAATTCTCATTTCACTTGTGTCCTGTGTTGACCACATGGTCTACCACTTTCATGATTCAGTAGTAGCCATAATTCTAGAAGCCTTCATTCCCTTGACTTTCTTTTTTTAAATTCTGAATAAACACTAAATGAGCATTTCATATACATTGTAGAACAAGGAGAGGATTTTACATAGAACTGTAACTATTAATGTAGAGCTTTTTCTTTTTAAATATAATGAATTCAACATGTAGCTTTCAGAGCTGTCCAGCTTATCTGTGATTTCTTCTGGTCTTCATTCTATTCTCTTCTTATCTGGGGAGTAAAGAGATCTCTATCTCCCTCTTATTTGGGGAGTAGAAGGATCACTATCTTCCTCTCACCTTCCCTCACTCTCTCATTGTAAAAAAAAAAAAATTAAAACCATACCCTTGTTACAAATAAGCAAAATAAATTCCTACATAGGCCACATCAAAAAACACCTCAATCTATGTTTTGAATCCATCACTTCTATCAGGTTGTGAATAGCATGCCTCATAATCAGTACTCTGTAATCGTGGCTATTTGTTTTATTGACCAGAGTTCTTCAGTCTTCAAAGTTATTTTTTTAATTCAATGTGTGGCGGTGGTTGTTACATAAATTGTTCTTCTGGTTCTGCTAACTTAACTGCACCATTTCATACAAGTCTCCCCAGGTGTCTCCAAACCCTTCTTTTTCATCATTTCTTATGACACAATAATATTCTATTGTATTCATATACCATAATTTGTTCAGTCATTCCCCAGTCATTGGGTGTCCCCTCACTTTCTCAACTTTCTCAAATTCCCAAACCTATTTTTGAAGTTGCTAAATCTGCTGAAACCTCATAGGTACCCCACCACCACCTTGTTTCTTAGCTTCTACTCTAGGGATGCTAACATTGGTGGAGTAAGTCATAAAATTGCCTTGTTTCCTCCCATATATATTTATGGCACATAATTTCTATATGGCCCTAATAGTAGCACTCAACAGTCTTTTCTCATCAACCTTTAATAACTCCCTTATCTTACTCTTCACTCTGTATCTCTCTCCTTTTCCTCATACCCCTCAAGGTGGATGCTTCCCAAAGTGCTGTCCTACTCTTTTCCTCTCTTGTCTCTTTATGTTCTCTCTGATCACAATCTCATTTGCTCACATAGATTCAAACTCTGCGACTACATAGATAATCCAAAATTTATATCTCCATTTTTGACCTGTCTGCTAGGCTTCAGACTTGCATCTACAGTGCCCTTTAATATATTTCAGCAACCTGGATAGACGTCCTGTGGGAACTTCAACTCAATATATCCAAAACCAAATATATCTTAACTTCAAAACCTGTTCCTCCTTTTGATTTCACTATTTCTGTTAGTGACACCATCACTTATCCAGGATCTCACATTTAAAACTTTAACATCATCTCTTCCTATCTTCCGATATCCAAATAAATCAATGAACTCTGCTGAGTCATCTCTGCAAATATCCCTCTCACGCACTCCTTTCTCTCCATTTTTCCTGCTACCCCCCCAAAGACAGGCCCCTGATTGGCTATTACAATAGTTTCCTAACTGGTCATCCTACCTGTGTGGTCCCTATTCCATTACGTTCCACAGCAATGCCAGATTTGACTAACTGATGGATTCATCTCTTTAGCCACATCCCCTTCTTTCACCCCCTTCTCCCACAGCCCTTTCATGATATATCTCAGAAATCCCTTACCTTGGCCAATAGCAGAAGAGCAAAAAGGGAGTTCATTTCTCTCAACTACTTGAGTGGGGGTAAGTTAGAACTTAGTGGCCACACTATATGCCATGAATGTCATGTGACCACTGACCACTATGCTATCTGTTTTTTTTAAATGGTTACTTCTATGCAGACTTCTCTGATAATTCTGTGCCATCCTCCCTAAGTACTGTTTTAAAGGCTTAACACTGACAACTCTCGATCAGGAGTCTTTACAAAGAAACTCCAATGGCCATTGGTCACTTTTCACAATCCTCCATTGTTAGGGATATAAAATATAACAGTTCTCTAAAATGCTTTAACATCTCTGTGCCATGAAGTAGAAACAGGCTTCAGACATGTAGGGCCCCCACAATCTTTTTCTCCATATTACAGTAGAGAAATCCCCAAAAGGTAACTAATTTAGCTGCAGTTTCCACAAATGTCATTGCCAAGCATAAAATAATATTGAAGGGTCTGAAATTAACAGATAAGATTTCAAAATCTATCAGTAAATGAGTCATAGCATTAATAAGCAAACTTACACAGTGCATTTTAATTTGTGTAGATTAAAAATCAGACCTAATAAAAATAATAACAGCATTTATATAGCATTTAAGGTTTACACAGTGTTTTATATATATTATTTTATCCTCACAACAACCCTGGAAGGTAGAAGTGCTGTTATTATTCCCATATTCTGAGGACGCTGCTCAGAATATTCATTTAAATGCAGTTATTTATATAATCTCATTGGTGAAAAAAATGCATTTGGCCAGTTGTTATATAATATTATAATACAATATATGTAAAGCATTTTGCGAACCTTAAAGCACTATATAAATTCTAGCTGTTATTATTAGGTTTAGGATTAATTGTAATTGAATTAATTAATTCAATAAACCCAAATGATTAATCTTAATGAAAAGCCTGATTTAATGAATTCAGGGCCTCTTTTCTTACCCATATCTTTCTCTTCCTCTTATAAATTATTATAGCAAAAATAAAAGGGGATTTATTAAAATGAGCCAGCAGGAAAGGAGATTTTTGCATGTGGAAAGATTTCCTTGTTTTCTAAGAAATGACAATGTTATAAGTTTTTTAAGCCCTTGACCTTCTATTTCCTTAAAACAAACAAACTAACAAACCAAAAACTACTCTTTCTGGCGTTCTAAGGTCACCCCAGAACATTCTCTTTTCTTCCTAAATGAATTCAGTACCTGGTACATAATGCCTTTCTCTACCCAAACTCCTGACATCATCTTAGGGGACTTAAACATACATGTTACTACTCCTTCAATACTCAACTTCCTAGTTCCTCAATTGGCTCATTTCCCTTGACCTGCTCCTTCACTTCACCTCAGCTGTTCAGAAGTGGTCATACCCTTGATCTTGCCATCATTTGTATGTGTTATACTTTCATGATCATGAACTCTGAAATGCCTTTATCTGATCATAATCTCTTATCACTCTGTCTTTCCTCTAACTTATCATCCTAATCCTATTCTTTGCCTTCACCCTGACTTCTAATCCTTCCACCCTCTCAGTTCTTGCCAAGGCCATCACCCCTATACTGGCTACATTCTCCTTCTTTTTCTGGACCCCTTGGTGAATCAATTCTAATCTATAATATGCTTTACACTCCAGTCTCCTGCCCTCTTGTCCCATCTCTGATCATGTCTTGCCAAACCCCTAACCTTGGATGACTCCCACCAATCAATCTACCATTTTATCTTCTCTTTACCTACTGCTGAAAAAAGTCCTAACCATGTTGACAGAGTCCACTATAAATTAATGCCACATAATCTCAACTTGGACCCCCATTGCAGCAAAGCAATCCTTTTATACCTCCTTAATACATTTACCTTCTTTCAACCCTCCCACCACAAACCTACACTCTCAATTGATGACTTCAACTCACTTAACTAAAAAAATAAGGTCACTCCTTCCCTCTTCATCTCACATCACTCAGATATCTTCTTCCACTGTATCATCCTTTACCCTGTCTCACATGAAGAAAAAATGGCAGTTTGTGTTTTTTCCCTTCTTTGTATACTTAGTGCTTAGCGTAGTGTATATATGTGATTAATAAATGCTTGTTTATTTATTAATACCTTCCACAACAAAGCAACTTTATAAAACTATTCATAAAGAGAGACAAAGTGTGAGAGATAGAGAGTAAGAGTCCCATCAATCCTTGGTAGGCAAAAAAAGAGATCACACCATTATCATGTGTGCCCGAATATCCAGCCACTCCTTTCTGCCTGAGAACAGCTGATGTAGCCCTCATAGCACCTTCATCTTGCCACTGGATACCATACCCAGGCAGGTGGGTGGACTGGCCACCTGTACTGCTAAAACTTATGTTAGAGTTTCCCTGTAGCCTTCTGACAGTGCTGTCACAATTTATCTTGCTCTCACTTCCTTCAGCCTTCACAGCACTTGCTTTCCAATAGCTCTGCTACCTTTTCTTTAGTTATGGCCTGAAGTATACGTGGATGACTTGATCTCTACTTCAACTCCACCCAAAATAAAAAGTTATAGTTTTTAAGGCCACTTATATAGTGTCTTTTCATTCAATAACATTTCACAATAATCTGTCAGTTTCCTCCAGTTCTCTATGCCTACTCGCACAGTGACTGACAATAGAAAGTTCATATTCTAAAGAAACTTGTTCTTATTTGAAAAAAATACTTTATAAAGTATTTACTCTTTATGAAACATCCACAAGTAGGGAAACTGCTAATGCCACCTACCTTGGCACTTGACAGTAGACAAATATGATGCAGATTCAAATTCATTTTACTCCAAAGCCCAAATTGTGTTTTATTTATTGAATTTTGATTGACATTTTAAGAGTCAGAAGAAAGGTTGCAATTATCCCAACATTATGCTTTGATAGCAGAGATTTTCTAAAATGCTGTTTTGAATTTTAAAAAAGCACTTTTAAGATGATTTTTCATTGTTGAAGTTGTATATAAATGTGCATAATGAGATTTGTCTGATTTGCTTACAATGCAGTTCCAACATAGAAATTTAAGAAAAATATATAATACATACCATGAAATACATGTGATAAAATTCAACATCTTTGAAAAGTTCTTCACACTTAAGTAATGCTAATTTGAAGAGGTTTGGGAGATTTTCCCAAAAAAAATTTCACTTAAAGTTGATAACCTTAGGTATCCTTTTTTGATGCTTCACATGGAAACTGTCCTCCATAGCAATGTGGTTTGGGGCATCATAATGTTTATATTCCTCATTAAATTCTCCAAAATGCTTTATAAGATGTTTGTTTCAGCAAATATTCTTTTTTTTTCAACATAGATCAATTATTACTTGAAAAAGGAATTTGAGAAAGATGATAAACCACGTGACCAGTCATATCATGATTCTGTATTAGAAGATATTTTTAAGAAAAATGACCATGATGGAGATGGCTTCATTTCTTCCAAGGAATATAATGTATATCAACATGATGAACTATAGCATATCTTTCTAAATTCATTTGGCTATCTTTTGTATTATCTGCAAAATTATTTTTATCCAAATTTTGCTTTTTTCCTATGAAACCACATTTTGATATCTTGAAAAATATTAATTTCTGAACCTTATGTAAATTTTTAATAATAAATTATAATGTACCCCAAAAGTAGTGGAAAAGGTAAGAATTCTATATTCTCTGCCTTATTTAGTAATGCCTATGAACACAGATTTCAGTATTTTGATGAAACAGCCAACATCTTAGACTCAGAATTTCCAAAACTTAACTCATCATCTTTCCTCCTAAACTTGCCCTCCTTTCCTGCTTCCCTCTATCTGTTGATGACAACATCATTCTTCTAGACATCCAGCCTCAAAACCTTGGAATCATATTTCCCTTTTTCTTCAACTCCTATATTCAATCATTTGCCAAAGACTATCATTCCTATCTCTGCCATATTTTTCATCTGTTCCCTCCTCTCCACTTCTACTGCCACCTCCACCCCCAATAACTTAGACTTATATTATCTCTTGTCTGAGCTATTTTAATGGCTTCCTAACTGGTCTTTTTCCCCTCTAGCTTCTTTCTTCTCCAACTCATCCTTCACACAATTGGTAAAGTAACTCTCTAACTGGGCAACTCTGATCACATCACTCCACTACTTAAAGACTTTAATGACTCACCTTTCCCTGCAGAATAACTAGGTGGCGCAGTGGATAGAGAACCAGCCCTGGATTCAGGAGGACCTGAGTTCAAATCCGGCCTCAGACACATAACACTTACTAGCTGTGTGACCCTGGGCAAGTCATTTAACCCCACTGCCTAGCCAAAATATATATATATATAAAGAGAGAGAGAGAGACTGACTGACTTGCATTTAAGGCCCTCTACCACCTCGTTTAGTTTATGATACTCCAAGGAAATCAAAGACAAACAAAAATCTAGTAAATACCAAAATATTCACTGTAACACTTTATGGTAACACAGAATTGGAAAGTGGTTGTCCATAGATTAGACAATGGCTAAAAATACTGTAGTATATGACTCTAATGTAATACTGCTAAATATAAATATTGTTAAGTATTCTATTCATTCATAATGAACCTGAGGAATTCAGAGAAATATGGGAATAGCCACATGAACTGATGTAAACAAATGGAATCAAGAGACTTATGTACACATTGATTATAATAATATAAATGAAAAGATCACTAAAAGGAAACTGGACTCAGAATAACTGGGGAAGAAATAAATGAAAGTCCAGGAAGACAGAGAATGAAACTTACCTTCTTCATCATGGTAGAGAAGTGGGGGACTAAGAGGACAAACATTATACATGTCAGACTCATTTACTTTAGAAGAGATGTTTTTGCTTAATTGTTGGTCTTTACCACCAGGGGAGCTTCAGTCCCCTCATTGGGGAAGATTGAAATGACTGATGTAAACACAAAAGGCATCAATAAAACATTTTAAAAGGACTCATTGTCGTCATTTAAATTATGTTGTCAAAAATCTAAAAAATGAGTAAAATTTTCAGAAAATATAATTTTTGTGCTGAGCTCATTTTAAGATACTTGAGTATGCTTTTACTTCATGTCATCTTTAAGTAATTGGCTTTTCTAAATATTATGACAATAACCTCTCAAGAAATTTACTTACATTTATGCATACTAAAATCATACGTTTTTAAAAGTATAGTAAAATTAAAAAAAAACCCAAACAACTGGATCTTGTTGTGTTGACTCTTACTTTGGCCTTCTACAGGTCACAAATATGTTATATGGTATCTTCTGTGTAATGCCAAATGCATTGTGATTATACAATAAATATTTGTTGATCTGAAGGATATAAAATTGTATTGTTCCATAATATAATAACACTCTAATCATCCTGTCCCTTAAAGCGGCTGAAGTTACATTTTAAAAAATTTTAATTAGTGAAGAAAAAAGGTCTTGCTGTATATATGGAGAAGGAAGACATTAAATTTTTTCTGCACATTTACATGACATTACATGACACACAAGTACATTAATGTACTAGCACAGTAGTGGTATTTTGTGTTAACATATACAATTATTTTATGTCTCTGTATATGGAAAACCTGTGGAGTAAATATAATTTTCAATGTGTATTTTATAGTCAGTATGGCATAATGAATAGAGAGCTGGCCTTAGAGCCATGAACAACTGAATTCAAGTCCTGTGTCTAACACATACTAGCTATGTGACCTCGCTCCATCCACCTGCACAAAGTACAGAGAAAGTGCTGACCTGCATCGGGAAAGGGAGTTTCTTCACCTGGGAGTTGCTTATACTAATGAAGTCACAGGGCCAGTCCTCATCCCTATAATTGCTTTTCATTTTGGTATTTTTCTTTTGTATGTCTTCTTTTCATATAGGTCGAGCAACATTAAAAATTAGGGCCCAGTAAATTTTGTTTGCAAATTCTGGATGCCTTGTAGTATAGACAAATAAGACCTTCTAAACCCACAAACATTAAAGCGTTTTGTTCTTACGCATCTTCATGATAGAGAAAAAACAGAAGTCTGATCTCTGCAATAGGTTTGAAGTGACAATAAGGCACCTTATAACCACAAAACTATAGAGCAGGTATTCAATAACAACAACCTACTTCCCAATCTCTAGTTCTCTTAACTCTGAACCTCATGCTTTGAGAATCCTTAATGTCTTTTTAATTTGATACTTGCAATTAAACATTAAATTCTTAACATTTTTCTCATTTTACTAGGCCATAACATAAGTGGTATGCCTTTTTTTTTTAAAGAAAGAAAACATTTCTACATTCAATTCACCATTAAAATTTTGAATTAATGTCATTAAAAATAAAACATATTCAGGAAAAAAATCAATTTTTGTAGAGCTTTCTTACTTCAAATGACAAAGCAAGATAAAGCCACAACATTTTTGTAGTGACTATTCAAAATGTTTCTGAAACACCATATATTTTGAATGTAAATAAAAATTTTGAGGAAAATTTAAAAAATAAATATCTTTACAGTTAATTTTTACCTTTCTCATATTTTTCACAATTAATTGATTCATTTGAACCCAAGTCATTTGGAAAGGGTTATGGCACAATTACACTTAAAACTGCACCAAAGGCACTCATTTTATTTAATTCTCTTGTGCCAAACATCAAAGCAGGGTACAGCATGAAGTCTTACATACTTTTGTCCATTGAAAAAACACTCAAGACATCCATAAACAGTTTCCCTCTTATAGTTCCCCATTCCACAGAGGACACAAGGCCCTTTTGGAATATTATGATTGAGTAAATTAACTCGGACATGAGTCCCTTCTCTAAGGGAGAAGTCAGTCATACTGAGGGGTTTATCATAGTAGTAATCTGAGAAAAGATCATCCATATAAAGTTCAGAGCGAGCAATGGCATCCATCACCCTTCTATCTGAAAAGGAAAACACACAAAAATAAGTGTTAATTAAAGGTACAAGAAGATGAAAGATAAAGCCACAAATGATATTCTTTATAAACATCATCCAAAATTTAAAATACCTCAACAGTAAATACAAGAGTTTTTATTATAATAGGAATGAATCAAGCTTCAAAATTTTTAAATTTAGATTCTTCATTTTGATTAGAGATAACTGAATAGATAAATTTACATACTAACAAAGAAGGGAAAATATGTATCCCCAATACCCTTTCTTTAACATCATGGATGATCAGTATCAAATGACATACTTCGTTCAAACAGTATATTTCTTAATCTGTAGAGTACTGCAAATGTTGTTGTTTCTTCTCTCTCAAATCCTCCTTTTGACACTGAAGTGACACAAAGGTCTATCAAAAAGAAAAAAAAAAGCATAATACAATACTATTAGGGAAAAGAAACTCAAATTCAGCCTAAATATAGCTTGTTTGTATAGAGCTGTGTGCATGTCGTCTCCCCCATTAGATTGTGAGCTCCTTGGGAGCAGGGACTGGGTTTGTTTTTGCCTTTTTTTGTAACTCCAGCACTTAGTACAATGCCTGGCATATAGGAGGCACCGAATAAATGTTTGTTGACCAACTGACCTTCTAACTCTAATAAGAACACCCCCATTCTTTCTTATATCCGTACTTATACAAGTCCAAATCCAGCTGTCTGAGCAGGGCTTCATTATGTAAGTAATAGGCCTTGGCTTATTATTTGCTTTTTTGCTCTGCTGACTATCACCTCCTTTCACAAGTCATTTATTGGTAGTTAGGGGAAAAGAAAGCCATCAAAGAGCTAAAATAGATTCACTACGGGAATCTTGTTCAGATGTATTTACACACTATTATCGCTAGGGGGCTCCCTTGCCTCAACCATTTGGATTTCATGACTTTTTTTTTTTTTTTTTTAAATCCAGATTTAGACTTTCTACAACCCTAAAACTGTAAAAAGTTAGCCCTGGCAGTCATAAAAGACTCAGAGATTACAAAAATACACCACTCGTTTGACTATATTAACCACAAATTTCTAGTATTTGTATATTGTTCTCTTTCCTAGAGGCAAATAATTCTTATTTGACTACACAATTTTGTTCTTTTTAAAATGTTACATGGTATACTTAAAAAATGACCAAGCTGGGGACAGCTACTTTAAAGGAGCAGGTCGATTAATACAGATTAAATGAGAAGCCTGTGTGGTACTTGAGCATCTACACAAGCACCTAAAAATTGAGTCAGTAACAAATGGTCAGGCAGGTAGGTAGCATTAACAAGAGACATTTGGTAGAGCTCAACTGACTGTACCAGGGACTTTAAATATTATAATCTTTACATTGGAAATGACTAAACAAAAATTACTAACAGAAGTAATCAAAGACAAGTTAGGAAACAGTTAAGGGAGAACCTATCTGCTCTTGAGGAATTCAACCCATCTGGTCCAGATGTACTCTATCCTTGGGTCACTGAAGAACCAACACATGTGATTGATGAGACAAAAGATCATGGAAAATGGGAAAGATTCTCCACAAGACTGGAGAAGTGCAAATGTCCTAGTTTTCAAAAAGGGAAAGAGAACAGAATCTATAAACAATAAACCAGTGAGTTTGATGTTGATTCCTGGAAAAGTTCTAGAATGGATTATTGAAGAAGTAGTTGGCAAATACCTAGAAAGGGAAGCAGTGATTACAAAAAGCCAGCATGGCTTCATTAAGTACAAATCATGCCAGACTAATCTCAGTTCCTTTTTCAGCAGGATTGCTAAATTAGTAGATAAAGGGATATATTTTACGTATGCTTTAGCAAAGCTTTTGAGAAAGCATCTCAGATTATTCTTGTAGAGAAGGCAGAGAGATAGGAACAATATAATCAAAGGGATTCAGAACTAGGTGAATGGACAGATTTAAGAAGTAGTTGTTAATGGTTCAATGTCAATGTGGCAGAAGTGTCTAATAAAGACCTCACAGATCTGGGACTAGCCCTGTGCTGTTTAACATTTTTATCAATGACTGAGATAAAAGTATAGATGGTATGCTCATCAAATTTGAAGATGACACAAAGTTGGGAAGGATAACTAATACAGTGGATCTTGACAGGCTACAGCATTGGTGTCAATCCAAAAAGGTGAAATTCAATAGGGATAAAATTCAAGTCTTATACTTGAGAACAACAACAACAAAAAATGAATCCTACAAATATAAGATTGTGAGGCCTGGATAATGAGTATGTGTTCTGAGAAAGATCTTGGGGTTTTAATGGACTGAAAGCTCAATGAGTCAGCAGTGCAGTGTGACAAACAAAAAACCAATAGATCTTGGGTTTCATTAAGAAAGGCCTAGCTTCCAAGAAGAGGGAGATTATAGCCCCACTGTACCCTGCCTTCATCTGGGGTATCGTGTTCAGTTCTAGGCACCATGGTTTAAGAAGGACATTGATAAACTAGAGAGTGTCCAGAGGAGGACACTTAGGATGGTGAAGGGCCTTGAATCAAGTCATATAGGGATCAACTGAAGGAAAGGAGGACCTTAGAGAGGCAGATGATAATTGGATTCAAGTATTTAAAAGGCTGTCACGTGGATGGAAAACTAGACCTGTATTACTGGCCTCCAAGGGTAGAACAGGAACAGTGGGGAGAAATTACAAAAGGGTCAATTTGGGCTTGGTATTAGGAAAAACTTCCTAAAACTTAGAATTGGGCAAAAGTGAATAGGGCTCCCTGGAGAGGCAGTGTGGGCTTCCTCCTTGGGGTCTTCAAACAGAGGCTAAACCACCACTTGTCTGATACGTCATAATGGGGGCACTTTTCCTGTATGGATTGCACGACATGATCACTGAGGTCCCTTCCAGTTCTCAGAAGCCTGCGATTCTGTAAAAGAGGTGGCCATCAGATGGACTTAGAGATTTTTTTTATTAATTTATTTTGATTTATCAATAATCACTTCCATATGCTCTTGAGTTTAAAATTTTTCTCCCCCTTCCTCCCCACCACCCTCCCCAAGACGGCACACAATCTGATATAGGCTATATATTTACATTCATACTAAACAAATTTTCACATTAGTGATGTTATAAGTAGAAATTAAAACCAATAGGAGGAACCATCAGAAAGAGGAAACAAAACTCAACAGAAGAGAAAAAAAAATTAGCAATTTGGCTTCCATAGTTCTTTCTTTGGGCGTGGATGACATTTTCCATCACAAGGCCTCTGGAGATGTCTTAGATCCTTGTATTGTCAGGAAGAGTTAAGTTTATCAATATTAGTCATCACACAACATGGCTGTTACTGTGTACAACGTTCTCTTGGTTCTGCTCACTTCACTCAGCATTAGACCATACAAGTCTTTCCAGGTTTTTCTGAAGTCTGCCTGTTCATCATTTCTTATAGCACAATAGTATTCCATCACATTCGTATACCACAACTTGCTCAGCCATTCCCCAAGTGATGGGCATCCTCTCAATTTCCAATTCTTTGCCAACTTAGAGATTTTTTTAAAGAGGCAAAAGGGCTGCTTATAGGGTTCAACTGAATTCAATTCAATAAACATTTATCTAATGTGTAATTTATAGAAAAGATTATACCAGGGAACAAAGATTACATAAAATAGTCCCTGATCTCAGTACAATTTGAAAGTACCTGAAAGAAAAAACCTGGAAAAGCTTACATGAACCGATGCAAAGTGAAGTAAGCAGAACCAGGAGAACATTATTCACAGTATCAGCAACATTGTACAATAATCGACATGAACGACTTCCAATTTCAAAAGACTCATGATGGAAAATGCTATTCACATACAGAGAAAGACCTGATGGAGTACGACTGCAGATCAAAGCATACTATTTTCACTTTCTTTTTTTTCCCGTGGTTCTTTTCTTTTGGCCTATTTCTTCTTTTACAACATGACTAATATGGAAATTTGCTTTACATGATTGTACATACATAACCTATATTAAATTGGTAAGAGTCTTAGGGCAAGGATGGTGAGGAAAGAAGGAAGGAAGGGAGATGATTTGGAACTCAAAAGAAATTTTTAAATGAATGTTACAAATTGTCTTTATATGTAATTGGGAACAAAATACAATACCATAAAAAAAAAAAGAAAGTACCTGAGAAGTGTAAGATGCTACGTGAAATTAGAGAGAGCACTACTGTCTAGGAGGTTCAAGGAAAACATCCTGAAGAAGGTGGCATTTAAGCTAGGCTTTAAAGGATGCATAAGACTTCAACAGGACCGGTTGAAGATGACAATTTAGGATGTGTAATAAAGCCAATATACAGAGGCAGAAAAAGGTAGGAAGGGTATTGAGGATGTGGAATAGTCCAGAGTGCCTAAAGTGAAGAATATTTAGAGGGGATGGTAGTATAAGTTAAAATGAAACAGTCATAGGATTTAGAGTCTGGAGTAGATCTAAGAGGCCATATATCTCAATTCCTACATTTTGCATATTTTTAAAGAGCAGTCTGGAGTAGCAAAAGGAATGCTGAGCTAGGAGTTATGATAGACCTGAATGTCTAATTCTGATTTTGATTAGTTATTTTGCCATGGGTAAATCACTTTCTCTCTCCAGACCTCAATTTAAATTGATATAACCCTATACCTAGCTTACAGAGTTATTGTTAGGAACAAATGAGATAAATAAATACGGTTTGTAAACCTAGTTTTTTATCACATGGGAATATTTTATGCCACAATTGCTCTAAACTGAAGGAAGGCTGAGTGAGGTATTTTTATCTTTCACCCAAAATACTTAGGCTCAACATAGGAAGATTTAAACATTTATCAACAGTTTAAATTTAAACAATGAGCACCTATTGTGTGCACAGCATTCCCTTTATTAGACATTATACTATAAAAGTATAGGCTCACAACTGCTTCTACCTAGTTTCATACCCTGCTTAGGAAAAAGGAGTATAAAAAAGCAGGTAAACAGTTGTGTCAACAAATAAGTATTTTAAAATTATTTTTGTAAGACTTTTAAAATATAAAACTGAGATTCACAACTTAAGTTGAATAGCCACAAATGTCCAGGTTAGAAATAAATTTCCCTGAGACTATTTATTTTATGTCCTTTAAGTCATTTGAAGTTGTTAGTTTAAAAAAAAAATCTTTTTTAAAAGTTTGTACTTGGGGCAGCTAGGTGGCATAGTGGATACAGCACAGACCCTGGATTCAGGAGGACCTGAGTTCAAATCCGCCCTCAAACACTTAACATTTACTAGCTGTGTGACCGGCAAGTCACTTAACCCCACTGCCTAGAGCCAAAAAAAAAAAAAAGTTTGTAGTAGAAACCTGGAAATCAAAGCCGGCAGCCCTAGGCAAACATAACATAGTATCTTTAAGGTCATGAATTCTCTCTTTTCTATACTTTCCCCTCATCTCTCCCTCCTACCCTAACAAACACACTTCTATCCTTTCAGGTGCTCAGTCTTCTTTTTTTTTTCTTACCCTTCCCTACACCCCTTCCATCAAAATCTGCTTTTATAAGTTATTTACATCTTAGTGTAATAGTAGTTCAACAAGTTGCTTCTTCCATACTATTTCCTCTTTTTTTTTCCTTCTGTTTTGTTGTTTCCTTTCTTGTGGTTCCTTCTATTGGTTCTAATTCTTCCTTACAACATGACTAACGTGAAAATATGTTTAACAGGAATGTATATGTAGAGCCTATATCAGATTGCCATTGGGAAGGGAGGTGGAGAAAAATTTAAAACTCAAAAGTTTATGGAAGTGATTGTTGAAAACTAAAAATAAATTAATTAATTTAAAAAAATGTTGCTTCTTCCAGTCATTTTTAACATTTACCTCTGATTGGAGGACATAATACAATTGCTTTAAGATATAAAGCAAGCAAGTGGTAGAAAGATTTTATGAGGAAGGGGGGATCCCCATACTAGTTAAAAGTCACCTACTGCCATCTCTACATAAGATTGTTCCTTCTGGAAAGTATTACCGAATTTTAATGATTTCATTTTCACATAAAATAATTGCCAAGCAATTTCTGAGTTAAAATAGTTTATTTGAAAAGCATAAATATGTAAATATCTCACAAACAGATTACTTACCAAAGGCACCATCCAAATAAATGAAAAGTTCAAAAACACTAAAAGCTATGGTTGTGTGTGCTGGAAAAACAATAGCTTTGTCTCTTCCTTTTGGGTTTTGTTCATCAATAATGTGAAACTAATTTTCAAGAAAGAAATAACATGTATTAGTAGGGAGTCAATCATGAAAGGGAAATTCTTTGAGTGTGAATGAAACTTTGAAGGAATAGCATTAGTTCAATTCTCTAGACAAGGCTTTTTTTCATTATTATTATTTTTAGGATAAACCTACTTTTAAAGTAAAGAACTATCTTGTTTTAAATTATTTGGCTCTTCTAGGGACAAAAATTCTCTTTTTGGAAATGGTAATTTATCTCAAGGAAGGAAATACTTTACCCTATTTCATTCACATTACTGTTAGTTCTAATAATGTTAAATCCGATGCAATAATAATGCTCTCCAAGAGCTGAATACTTAGTCCTCTTCATCCCTTTTATGTCGTTACAAATGCCAATCAAATAGATTATTTGAAAGTTTCCTCCAGTCTCACTAGCCTACTGACCTGTGGAGCTGTTTTGATGCCTTGGGACTTTAGGCAGTCTTCAAAAGTTATTCTAAACCAAAAGCCTGTTTGTGTCTTTCAAGCCAGTGAAAATTCTAATTCCTAGGTGAATGGTTTGTTAAACTAACTAGATTAAATCAATACTTCCCGTTTCCATTTCAGTACAAATCAGTAGTCCCAACCAGACAAAGTTTCACTCTACTAAGATATAGATAAAATTTAACCAAAACCTTACCTTTCCATTCCTAAAAATGCAATTCTTTCTAAATCAAACTAATCAAATAATTATTATGCTTCACTAAATGAAGATAAAGAAGAACTATAATTGGTCTAAAGACTTAAACAGATATAACTTCATAAAATTATTTTAAAATAAAAGCTTAAATTCTGAATGAGGTAAGTTTGGTCACAAGAAATATTACTATAGAGAATTGTAATATTTTAGGTTCCTATAAGCACCATAACTTTAATCCTTTGTTTCAAAAGTATAATCTGTATGACTAAAAAAAGAAAAACATACTCTTTGAACCAAACAATTGCTTTCATTCTTGTAGCACTATTTCAGTGATTAAAGGATGGTCTTTAGTTATATGCACTTTATTTCACAAGGATGGACTTTTAAGCATCCTTGAAATTCCTTGAATTTAGAATCCAAGTTCTCTTGGAGATTTTTTTCCAAGTGTTTGATGCACAAATATAAATATCTATGCAAGAAACTCCACATTTTCTATCAAAATTTTAGCAAAAAATGCTATTACAACTATTCTTTTGTCCTAGTACCACTAAAAAAAACTAGTTTCTAGCTTCAAAATATATATATACCACAACCTTTTAGTTAGTAAGAGAAGTCTTTTAAGGATATTTACCCTCACTGCTTCCCCACGCATTCCAGCATGCACAGATAAAGAACACTGGCGTGTTGTTCTAATACTTTCCATGACCACACACAATACTGCCTTTCTACTACTCCTTGATTGACGGATTAGGCAGTGATCAAAGTTAATTTTTCTAAAATAAAGAAAAAAGAAATCCACAGGTATTTATTATTACCTAATTACATTTATTTAGTTTCTAATTATTCATAATTATGAAGACATAAAAACCTACTTGCCTGTGATATAAAACAATGTGAACAGGCCTAAAAGGAATCAATATGACTAAAAGAAATTCAGTAAACTCTTTAAAAAGAGTTTAACTAACTATGAACCTTGGTTTTAAGCAACCACAAGACTGCTGTGTTTGCTAGGAAAGCAAAATGTATAACCTATTTAAAATGCTTACCTATTAAAAAAAAGAAACCTCCCTATACCCTGTTCAAAAAGATATTTCTTAACAATAGTTAAGTTTAGCATAGTTAAGAGAGTATAGCTGCCTGTACCATATATATCATCTATATTCTGCTTGGATTGTCTGTACCATAGATCCGTCATACCTTGTTTCTTAACCATGAGGTTTTTGTTTTGTGTTGTTTTTCTGTACTCTCATTTATTCCTTGTATATGCTGTGTCTGTGTCTTTGTTTTCTCATCTGTAAGACAGGGATTCTGACAGCACCTACCTCTGAGGATCATTGTGAGACTCAAACAAGATAATAATTGTAAAGTGCTTTGCATAGTGCCTGGCACAGAGTAAACGCTATATAAATGTTAGATACTCTTATTATTATATAATTAGTATGACAAATCAGAACAAAATAGGCACTTTCTTTGATTTTTTGTTGCTCTTACATATAAAAGAATCCCTACAGGAAAATCTGGTAGAGAGGGTACTCATCAATATGACTCCAATGATCTCCCTTGCATTGCAAGGTAAAAAAACTGCTGACTAGCCACTATGCTGCAACACTGTGCTGACATGGTACCATGTCAGGTACCATGACGATACCTCTCCTTTCTAATTTTTTGGACTTGGATTATATGATGCGGGGAGGCAAGGTGGCATAATAGTGGAAAATGAGTTAGATTTACAATCTAAAGGAGCTGGGTTCAAATTTTGACTATGCCAGTTATTACCTGTGTGAGCCTGGGCAGATAATTTAACCTATCTGAACCTCAGTTTCCTCATCTGTAAAACGAGGAGGTTGGAATAGAAGGCTTCTAATATCCCTTCCAACTCTAGATCTATGAACCTTTCAAAATTTGTTTTTTGCAGAAATTTGTCTATGTGGAGGAACTTCCGTAATATTTGCACCAAGCAGGTTCTTATATTCTTTCAGTTCAGTTCATCTTCGTCTTCAGAAAGTCACTCAGTAACAAACATTGTTATTGTTTCATTTTTGAGTTGCATCCAATACTTTGTAACCCCTTCTGGAGTTTTCTTGGCAAAGATACTAGAGTGATTTGCTAAGTCCTTCTCCAACTCATTTTACAGATGAGGAAACGGGAGCAGACAGAGTGAAATGACTTGCCCAGGGTCACACAGCTACGAAGTGTCTGACGTTGAATTTAAACTCTAGAAGAGGAATCTTACTGACTCCAGGCTCAGCCCTCTATCCACTGAGCCATCTCATGCCAGGCATGATATTAAGTACTAGATGTAGGGTCCTCAAGGGGAGGTATGGGTTTTTGTTGTTGTTATTGTTGTGGGGGGGGGGGAGGGTGGATTTCCCAGCATTTAACAGTGCCTATTATGTGGTAAATGATTAATAATGCTTACTGCTTGACTGATTAAGAGCCTACTATCAAATGACATGGAGACAACTGAAAATCTGGAAAGGAATATTGTCAGGAAAGTAAGAGGTAGCATTTATTGAATGTGGCCCTGAGAAAAGCACATTTTGTAGACCAATCAAGAATTTTTTTCAAACCATTTTTGAAACTCATCTTGCAAGATTAATTGTAGCATTCTGAACTTAAACAGCAAATTGCTTAGCTTTGTAAAATATAATGCACATTTTAAATGTATTGCAGCCAAATTTGTAAAATTCAAATATTGAATTGGATTATTTAAATACATCAAAAACTATCCTACTAACCTAGTAGTAAGTTCCTTGAGCAATGTTGTTACTTCTACTTCATGCTTAGTTACCACACCAAATGAAGCTTTTACTGCAATAGAATCTGATCCAGCAACGTTAATCCCAACATCATTCACCATATGATTTCCTCGTCTTCCATAGAGGGAAACATCTGATTTATCTTCATAATTCAGTAATTGGTAGGATGAGATACCTTTAATAAAAGAACATTGTTGTGTTTTAAACGTCTTTCACCTACCTACTCTGATTATTTTAAAAGTACAACATTAAAAAAACCCCAAGGTTATAAATTATAATAGTAATGGCAATGATTTAAACCAAAATTTCAAAATATCAATTCCATTTACAGTAGATTATGCAGTTAAATGATAAATAGTATTCTTTTCTTTGTACTCAGGAAAATGTCCCATGAAAAGAGATTAAGCAGTGGGAATGTTTTCTTATAAGTAACAATCTGTTGTTAAAATATCAATTCAAAGTCCTCCATGTTCCAACTAGGTCTAGAAAAATTCAGTTAACTAAAATAGGCTACCTCTATATACCAATAACTTAACTTAAATGATGAAAACAATAGCAGTATCATAATAATAAGTAGTGGTAGTAGAAATGATATGATAATTTCCCCATTTCAGAATGCTTTTGCTTCTACGTAAGCAATATGGCCCAGCCTATGAGTGCTTATTTGAAGTTAGGATGTTTCAGTCTTTTTCAGTTATGCCTGACTCTTTTTGACCCTACTTGGGTTTTTTGGCAAAGACAGTAGAGTGGTTTGTTATTTCCTTCTCTAGCTCATTTTACAGATGAGGAACTGAGGTAAATAGCATTAAGTGACAGGGCCACATAGCTAGTAAGTGTCTGAGGCTAGATTTGAATTCAGTTCTTCCTGACTACAGGCCTAGCATTCTATCCACTGCGCCACCCAGCTGCCCAAAGTTAGGATAACCTGTATTGAAATTCTGCCTCTAGATCCTTATTATCTCTATGTCATTGTTGTTCAGTCACATTTGACTCTTTGTGACCACATGCCAGTACTGTCCATAGAGTTTTCTTGGCAAAGATGCTGGAGTGGTTTGCCATTTCCTTCTCCAGTGAATTAAAGCAAACAGAGGTTAAGTGACTTGCTCAGGGTCACACAGCTACTAAATATCAGCAGTCATATCTAAACTCAGGTCTTTCTGACTCCAGCACCAGCTCTCTATATCCACTGAGCCATGTTGGCTGCCTTCGTACATTTAATATAATAACTTTTATCTGTATGATACTAAGTAAATCATCAAACCTCTACATGACTTAAGCAATTTCCTAGGATTTATTTACAGTATCATAAATGAGGAGGAGTTCCTTATGATAATGAAATCCCTTTCATCATCTGATTCGGTTCATACCACAAACTTAAGGGGATAATACAACAGGTATCATTACCATTTTGTAGTTGCTTAGTATGTGAAGTAGCTAGGTGATACAGTGATAAAGCCCTAGATTCAGGGTCAAGAAGATCAGTTCAAACTCTGCCTCAGATACTAACCAGTTGCGACTAGTAAGGAACGGCAAGTTACTTTATCTCTCTTTTTCTTAAGTTTCCTTACCTATAAAATAAAGCTAATAATAGCACTTATCTCACAGGGCTTTTGGGAGAACCAAATTCAATAAAATATGTAAAGTGTTTTGTAAACTCTGAAGCACTAAATTAATGTTAGCTAATATTATTGTAAAATGAAATGTGCAAATTGATTTGGCAGAACAACTTATTAAAAATCCAATTCAATACACATTTATTGAGCACTTAAAATGAGCCAGAAAATGAGCAAGGAGCACACAAAGATAAAAATGAAAATTGTCTATGCCCACAAGAAGTTTACCATCTACTCAGTGGGGGAAGCATATAGCAGTATGTATATAAGTAAAGACAAAGCAATAGGGAGAGGTGGGGGAAGAGATTCCAGATTGAGAAGTTCCATTCATTTTAATAGATTTGAAAATGTTTCGAGTTCCTATTGCATTTGAGACTACGTAAATTTGAAACATTCTTTCTGTTACTAATATCATTGCACCTATTTCAACAGAAAATTTGACTATCAATAAAAATCATGCTACTCCTGTAACATGCTATCTGTATTTAAGTTACTAATACAGTACAATGAGTAGTTATTCTAAAAACAGGTTTTTAAAAGCTATTGGAAAAACTTACCAGCTGAAATTTCTCTGTCTCCTAGGAGAATATCGTTCAATGTGAATGGTGTTGAGGTAAATTTAGCTCTCTGTAACAAAAAGCATCTTTTCTTTTTAACCACAAGGCTCAAAGGTTGATATTTGTCAGCTTCACTGAGGCTTGGAACAGGAACTAATCTCCCTCCATCTCCAACTTGCTTAACAAAGCTCTTGGTAGCAGCAGCAAACATATTAATTTAATATTAATGATAACACACTTCATCAACTGCAACTTCAGATATTAAATCCATATTCAAAAGGCTAGTATTTTAAAGAAAATTTACCATGCACAAAATTAAAACAAGGATGAATTTTTAAATGAAGTTAGATATCTTAATGAGAAAAGCAAAATAACCTGTTTTCACTAACTAGTTTCCAGTGTGCAGAACTCACTGCTCCCTTTCAGCTTCATATACTCAGCATAATGAATTATACATCAAGTGTAAACTGATATGCTACAGGTAAGACTGAAGTGCCACCACTGCCATTCTATATGACTAAAAAAGCTAACAGAAGAAACTGACATTAAGTGGCAATAATGTCTTTTGTCAGGGACAGAGCTAAGCATGATCAGGGCAACGGGTCCAATACAGTATCAGTTCTGAAGGATACATTGGCAAGATCTGAAGATTAAAATGACAAGCATTAGCCCTGGATACAATCTTCAGTGGAACTGGTCCAAAGGAAATTCCTATACAAGTTAAAGTACTTACCAGTTTTGGCAGTAAGTCATGCAATTTTGGGCAACAGAAAAAGAATCATTTGGGGAACAATTTAAAAACTCCAATTTTCTTATGTATCTCATCTTACCCTCTTCTGCACAAAAAAATGTATGGGGGTATGTTTGTATTCATATTAAATGAAAATTTTAGCACATAGTGGATCCTTTTATTGACTTAACAACAGTCCCAAGATTCATATTATCGTCCAACCATTTCATATCAGATTTTTACTCTCTGGATTTAAGCTTAAGTAGACATAGAATGAAAAGTCCGGTTATAATGGGGCTCTGTATTTGTTTTCCTTCATCAGTTTATTATTGTTTTCCAAGCTGAGGGTGGAGGGAGGAGGGTCGGAGGTGAAGAGGTGAGGCCCAGGAGAAAGCATTTCCTTCCACGCATTTGGGGCCAGAAAGAACAATTTGTGAATCTTTCACAGCCGGGACACAGCCCAAATGTAGAGTGGTGCTAACTAGGGACACGAGTCGATGCAGGTTATTTTAAAACAGTGGCTATCTTTTTTGGGACGATCTATGAAGAGTGCAGCCTTGGTTTCCAAAACCTTTTCTAAATCAGGGCTTAAATGCACTCTGTTCTGCCTCAGGTGATAAGAGGACGACGATAAAGGATTTAAAAGAGGAAATCCCTTTAATGCTCAGGGTTTGGGATTTCTCCGCGGGTTGGTTGGGAGCCCCAGGAGCGGGGTTCGCGAGCGCAGCGGTTCCGAACGTGGATCAAGCAGGGATGTCTCCTGCAAATCCCAGAGGGGGTGAAAGAGAAAGAGGAGGCGAAGGAGGAAGGGAGGGTGAAAACCGACTCATTAGAAATGGAAGCGCACTGCAAGCAGGGGCCGTCTCAACCTCCGTACTTGCATCCCCAACGTGCTGCTCGGCGTGTGGCTCCGAGCGGGCACTTGTTCGATGGACGTTCTTCCCTGCATCAGCTGACATGACGTCATGGTGTGGCCGGACAAGCCCCCAGACCCCTTAGGTCCAGAGGCCGCTAAGTTATTCGTTCGTCCCCCCCCTGGCTTTGGGGTCTCCGTGGGCTCAGGACATCGCCTGGGACTCAAGAACGCGCTGATTATACAGAGGTGGGGGGGGTGTCATTTTTAGTAAGAGAATGATCACTTGTCATTCGGACATGCTTCCATCCCATCTCGGGAAGGAAAGCACTCGTGGGGTTTGAGCGAGAGGAGGGAAGCAAGGGCGTCCGACTGCGTGCCCACTCTGGAGCGTCTCGGGGAGAAGGGGGGCCAGGGTGCTCCCACTACGGCGGCCCTGACGCGCCCTCTCCTCAGGCGGAGCAAAAAATGCCCGGATAGAGAATGACCCTGCTCGCGGGCCGGCACGCGGGGCCCGTGGGTCAGTGACCGCACGCAGCACGCGCTCGCGGACTTGAGGGAAGGTCAGTTTGGGAGCCGAGGCCTGGGGCAGGGGCCGGCTGCTAGGAGCGGGCGCCGGGCGGGGGGCCCGGGCCGCGGCAGCAGGTGCGGGCGCGGCGGGGGGAGTGAGGGGGGCTGCGCCATCGGCTCCTCCTCTTCTCCCCCGCCCCCCGGAACCACAACAGGGACGCGGAGGAGGGGGGGGAGGAGGAGGAGAAGAGGGACAAGAGGCAGCTGAGGCAGAAGCAAAAGCGGCAGTGGCGGAGGGGGAGCGGGAAGCGACCACCACGGCGACCGCGACGGCGACTGCGACGGCGGCCCCGGGGACCAAAGAGGCCCCTCTCGGGGACGGGCCGCCCAAAGGAAGGAGAGCGAACCCCCGGCCCCGAGCCCCCCCCGCCGCCACCCCGGCGGCCCCATCCACGCCGGCTGCTCCAGCCTCCGCCTCACGGCCGAGCATGCCCCAGGGCGGCCTCCACACGGCGACGTCGGCGCCAGCCCCGCAGGACAGCGGCACCTTCAGGTCAGTTCGCGGACGGGGCCCTAGCCTGCCCGCCGCGGCCCGTGGGACACCAGGTAGGGCCTCGCGGGGGAGGGGAAGAGGCGGGAGGGGGCGAGAGAGGACGAGGAGGCCTCCGAGGTGCTTTCTGGGTAATAGTACCCCTTTCTTCTCCTCTCGCTCTCCCTCTTCCTCCCCCTTCCTCCTCCACCTCTTGGAGAAGGGAGAGACCCCGCCCTCCAGGGTTCTACTCCTTCCCTCCCCCACCCCCGGGCAGCGCCGTGGGTGGGTCAGGCTAGAAGAGCTGCTGCTGTCGCATCCCAGGAGCCCAAGGCAGCTCGAGTTACCTGAGCCCTGATAGGCTTGAGAAAGAGGACGCCCGTGGGGCCTCGGAGATCGTTTCGTTCCCTGAGCAGGTGCTGCTGGAGCCGGTTTTTTGGGCTTTCTCTCTCTGACCCTCCCTAACCTCCCCCCTCCCTCACCTCTCCTGATCCCTGCTGCTGCAGCTGCCAGCGGAGGAAATTGGAGAATACCCCCACTCCCAATGCCATCTTCATTTTTCAGAACTCAGAAGAAATACAGCCACTTCGTTTTCTAGTCGTAAGAATGAAAAGTGAATCCCCTTCGGTTAGCTTTAGGGCCTCACTTGACACTTAAAATTTCTACTTTAATGCTCGCGCGCGCTCTCTCTCTCTCTCTCTCTCTCTCTCTCTCACACACACACACAAACACACCCCCCCCACCCCCACCCCTTTGGTGTTTCTAGCAGACAACCTTCTCATTTATGCAGGTTGGGGAAAATGATCACAGCCAAACCAGGGAAAACACCAATTCAGGTGTTACATGAGTATGGCATGAAGACCAATAATGTCCCGGTTTATGAATTTGAAAGAGCTGATGGACATGCAAATACGCCGAGTTTCACCTTCAGAGTGACCGTTGGTGATATAACTTGCACAGGTCTGTATACACTATTAACCCAAACTATTAAGAGCATTGTCCTAAAAATAGGCTGTAATGTCTTCTTTAGAATGGTGCCCTAGGGAAATATTGAAACTGGAAAGTGTCAACTCGGGTCAGAAGAAAGACATTTTAAACTTTATCCTCTTTTTCTCACTTTCTCCCTCCCTTTTTCCCTCCTCCCAGGTACCATCAGAAGCCCAATTTAAGATTTAGTAATGGAGGCCTCCAACTTCCTGTTCCTTAAGATATCCCTAATGGTTCCATTAGTCTACTTCAGAGTCAGAACTGGAGAGGCTTTAAGGATGAGTAGGAACTCCTAAGTAGCCTTGGGGACTAAGATAGTTTTTAACCATGTGTCCAAGCTCACAGCCCCTACCTGTACCTTGATTTCCCATTTCCCACCCCACTTTGCAACTTGTTAAACTTGAGGGAAGGTGGGTATGAATTCTCTCTCCCCCACTGTAAGACACATAGAACCTTAGAAAGTTTTTCAGCTTTCCTAGGTCACTGTTGTAGAAACAAGCATATTCTTGTTTATTTACCAAGCTGGAGCTGGCCCAGTAAAATATCTCGTTCTGTATCCAAAGAAAAGCAAAGCAATATATATGTGAATTTTCCTGTTTAAACATAGATACCCTGTCATTAACTTCTTGACCTTGAAACACACAAAAAGACACATTGCATTTTACTTGAAAAAAATATATATATAACAACAATAAATTCAAATGGATTAGTCAAGTTTTATGATCTATTCATCTAAAAACTACAGATCACAGATTTTGTTTTGTTTTGTTTTTACTGAAGTGAAGCTACATTTCATATCCCTGAAATGTATGATCTGTGGTGAAAAGGCATAGGGGCTGAGGTAGAATGCTGATCCCTGATGAGAACAGAGAAGGAATAATCACTGTTTTCCCAGCTGGGAATTGGGGGGGGGGAGGGAAGAGAATAGAGTCAGAAGAAAGCAACTTTTAAGTTCATATTGTTTAATCCCTTCATTTTATACTTGAAGAAACCGAGATGTTATGTGACAAGCCCAAAGTCACACATTAGGTAGCCAGAGGCTTTCTGACTCCAAATCCCACACACTTTATACTGCACCATGCTGCCTCCCATACAAGGCCAAGCAGCCAGTTTGTAAATCTACTTAGTAAGTCATGAACTTTTGGTTGGGAATCTATGTTAAAAGTAACCAGAAGCTTAAAATCTTTTTTTTTTTCCTCTTTACTGTATGAGACTCTCATTATGTGATTGGGGGAGTTACTTAGAGCTTAACCACTGCGAACCTCTGTTACTAATGTGTAAAACAAAGAAAATGTTTGAATCACCTGTCTTGTTGAGTAAAACTTGGACAGTTTTCTCTAACACAATATAAATGTAGGAGCTATTATTAATAAATGTGTTCCATGTATGAACCAAAGAAATAATAAAGCTATTTCAAGTAGTCTTTGTTTCTGGGATATTGTTTGTATATACCACAGAGAGATAGCATAGCATAGTAGATGGAGAGTTAGGAAGACCTGGATTCAGGTTTTACCTCTGATATGTATTAGCTGTGATACTCGGTAAATTGTTTAATTTCTCCCTGCCCTGGGCAGCTCTCTAATACTTTTAAGTATAGATTGTTGCTTATC